TACAAGGGCGATAAACTGCCAAAACGACACGGGCAATACGTGAATGGACTTTTCATGGCACGCGCCAAGAGGAAGCTTGGGCTGAAGCAGCAAACGTTATTGGAAACGGAGGTCGGGTTGTTCATACTCCCAAAAGACTATGCCAAAATCCATTCGCTTCCACCAGGTCGCAATGGCGAATAGACATGGCGGCGATCATATCCATGTGGATTATTAACAGAGATTATGCGTAGTGGTGGACAAGGGACATGATCCGCAATTAAAAATCAAGTCTTTTTCGTCAAACACTTACAGAGGTGTGTTTCCAAATAAGCAAATTTTGCACGATTATGCCGAAAGTTGCGCTATTTTATGCCCGAGTGCTAATTACGAATCAAGTCTCAGGTAATCCGTGGTGGAGGCCATAAAGATCCGACATCTTGGCATCAAAATACGGCAACTGTCCTGCATTGCCAAAGAAGTCCGGTGTCGCGGCGACTTGTTTCGGGTGAAAATAAGACGGCGGCAGTTGAAGGATTGCAAACCGGCATCATCTTACGGCGCGGACATCCGCAAGAAACATCCTGACAGTCTGCCGCAGGCGGTATCTCAGGCAGCCAAGTAATCCATTGTTTTGACGTACTTCAGCTCGCCGCCACCGACTATCTCCATTATGGCCCTCTCCAGATCCTCCTCCGACTCAAAGTACCGGCAGGACAACGGCCGCTTGATCTCCCTCCAGAGTATCTCGGTTGGGTTGAGCTGCGGCGTGTACGGGGGCAGGAATACCAGACGGATGTCCCCGTTGACGTACGCCAGATAGTCATGACCGTTCCCGACTTGTGGTACGAGGCGTTGTCCAAGACGAGCACGAATTTTGGATATTTCAGGAGCACCCACTTTAGAAAGTCCACAAATGTGCGCGAGTTCGTGGCTTCGGCTGTCTGCACGTGGTGTCCGTCCTTTCCCAGGATCCCGAACATCCTGACGCACCGAGTTGAGAATCCCGTCGGGACTGTCTCGTTTCCGTTGGTGGGAAACCATCCGTAGTCGGCCACCGCGGACAGCCGCCGGAGCGCCTCGTCCTCGCTGAATACGGCACATTCGTGCCCGATCAGTCTGCCCACTTCGGCAGATGTGCGCCTCTTGAACTCCTCTTGCTCGGCCTCCGGGGCGGAGTTGTACGGGACGGGTCTGGGCTTCCTGTACGAGAACCTGATCTTGTGCAGCATCCTCCGTAGCGTGCGCGGGCTGCACGATATACCAAACTCCCTGCGGATCAGCTCCAGGATGGTCCCTGACTGCCAGGATCCTGCCTGGAATCCGCACCCCCCTGGGACCGCGGCCCAGCAGCTCCGAGAGCCACCACCGGGACAGCTCGTCCAGCAGGGTCCGGCGGCCCGGAGCTTCCTGTCGGACAGGTCATCAGGACCGCGCTCCATCGCGTGTGCCAGCCAGCCGCGGATGGTCGTCCTTGGCCTGCGCATCTCCACGGATATGTCCGTGATCGCCATGCCCCGTCTTCTGCGGTATGCGGCCAGCAGCATCTCCCTCTCCTTGCAGGAGCCCAAGGTATCGATCCTCTCTTCCAGATACCTCGGTCGGATGGCCGGTAGATACGCCTCGCCCTTCGGAATCCTCATCCGGTAACACATCCCGGTGCCGCGTCGGCCTGTTTTTGGACGGTTTTATGGCTCACGGGTGGCGCAGGAGATCTGCCGATCGATGAATCTTGCTTTGGTGCTAATCTGGCGCGCATCCGACCGGTTAGGTTATTTGTGGATTTTTTGACGGAGAAAACGTCGAATCATTATGACCACGACTAGGCAGTATGTACGTTCCAATGTTGGTTGGTTGAAACATACTTGATTTTATGTGTAATAGTTGTTTAAGTCACTCTTGTTTGAAATTCCAAAGCCATTGTTGGACGCAATGGGGCAACTGCTCTTTTTTGTATGACCGGTAACCTCGAAGCATGGACATCTGTTTGGTTCGGAGCGTCTTGTATAATGCAAAATACCAAGGGTGTCCATACCATTTAGGTATCACTCCTTTGTTGTAATAAGAGGCAGGGTTATAGTTAAACCCTGTCGGTCTTTGGCGTCGTGCTTGTTCCGTTGTGTGATACACTATTGAGCGGTGGCCACCCAGTGCAGAATATGCAACTATGATTGCAGCAGGGAGTGATATTGCAGGTACAGAGCGGAGCCATGCACAGTTAATCACCAGTCCTGATTCACCTGGTAAAAGGCGGGATTCCGCAGGATCGTCCCCGGCAGCCACCATTACATCATCTTGTTGCATACGAGCAGTTATCGATTCTGCGTATTTGGGAGACAAGACAGTATCGGCATCCAGAGATATGACATAATCAGGGATTCCTTGCTGTGATGCGTCCATCATAAGGTTGGTGCGTTTTGCCCAAAAATCCAAAGATCGATAGATCAGATTCATGGGCCGGTAACGTGCGTGCTTGGATTGTCGCACATTGAATCATCATGGAATCGAGTATCTTTGATGTGCCATCTGTTGATCCATCATCAACTACGAGTATTTTTTTTGGTGGGATAGACTGCGATAAAAGAGACTGAACAGTAGTAGATATGTAGCGTTCTTCGTTGTGGGCCATCAAAAAAGCGTTCCAGTTCACAATCCTTGAGGATTGTGTGGAGCTGTGTGGGAATTGCAAGACATCATATATCCCAATCAAAGTTGCGTTGCAGCAGTTTGTATAATCTCTCGTTATGGGGCTTGAAGTACTCGATGAGAAGTTTGCGTGTACCCTCGTTTATCTTCTTGTAATTTCCAACGTTGAGATCCCTTAGATTTTCTATCCGGAGGGAGAGGGGCACTTCCAAGAAATCAAAAACCTGATCTAGGATCCGTTGCGGGCTCTTACGGAGGTCTTCTGTGGCCAAGATCAAAAACTGCTTCCTGTTGTAATATCTGAACCAATTTTCTTAGCTGATCCGCGTAGCGACCTCTGGCAATATACGAATGTAATTGGTATGATCTAGGGACGAAGTATGGATCTTTGACCAACCGCTCTCTTTCTCCGGCGCACCTCTCCTCTTCCGCCTCGATGGCCTTCTCAAACGGCAACGTTTCCTTATTCATTCTCATAGTGTGGTGATACTGGGAATACGCGCGATCAACGGGATTGCGCAAGATCACGATCAGCTTTACGTCAGGCAAGATCTTCTTCATCCTGTTAGGGGCAGTCGGGTAGAAAATATAGGTGGGGCTGGCTTCCCCGCTGAGGCGTCTTTGGTTAGTTTTCTTGTAAAAGTTACGTCTTGACAGGTTGGTTGGGAAATTGGAACGATACCACAGTTCGCCAAGCCCATAATGTCGGGAAAAATAATGCATTTCTTTTTTAGCGGCGGGCGCGATGTCTGGATGCCTGACAACGAAGTCATACAGCGAGGTAGTTCCGGACTTTTGCGCGCCGATAATAACAAAATCAGGCAGCCCCCTCAAACGCGAGGTGATCATCCGGAACTTGTTTTGTCTATAAAATACGTGTAAATGCGGATGCCGATAAAGCCAATTCTTGGCTTTGCCTCTGAAATATCCCAATGCCAAAGCTAGCAAAATACAATATATAGAGATTGAGCCGGATCCCGCGTAGAATCAAACGGCCATCGCCGTCTGATCGTGCAATGCAGCGACATTGTAAACTTCCCATGGCGTGCGTAACCAGGGCACCTAAAACACACGGCATGTGTGATGCGTAAAATTTCTCACCGACGGCACAAAAAATTACCCTCGACATGCCGTGGCACGTTATTTAGCTTCATGAGACCGATCAGTTACCTCTCAAGTCTTTTTCCGCGCGTATTGCAGAGTTCAGCTCCCCCAGTCGGTTCATGTCGTGGGTGGAAGATCCGGAGATCTATAAGCTTTTGTGGTGGGGGAGATTTTTGAGGAAATTACTTATGCGCGCCACTATAGCTATAGCTTGAGCTAAAATCCGATCATTATTTATCGGTCACTTGTAACAGCGTTTTATGAAAATCAAGATTGCAATAGGCGTTATAGTCGTCGCAGCCGTGGCAGTATCGTTGGCCGTACTACCGACCCCCAACACGACCGTGTCAGGGTGGCGTTCTTCCCAAATATAGGCCATGCCATACCCATAGTGGGACTGGAGAACCAGATATTCTCCGAAAACCTGGGAGATATCCCGATATCGCCAAAACTGTTTGACAGCGGCCCGCAGGTGATCGAGTCACTGTTTGCAAACTCGATTGACATGGCGTATGTCGGTCCCGGGCCCGCAGTCAACGGATTCATCAAGTCCGAGGAGCGGGGCATTGTGATCCTGGCCGGCGCCGCAAGCGGTGGCGCAAGCCTTGTGGTGCATCCAAATTCTGACATTGAATCCGCAGAGGACTTTGCCGGAAAAAGGATCGCAGCCCCGCAGATAGCCAACACGCAGGATGTCTCACTGCGGCACTATCTCTCCGAGCACGGATTGCGTCCGGCCGAGAAAGGCGGCTCCGTGTACGTGCTGAACGTGCCAAACTCGGACATCTATACGCTGTTTGTCAAGGGCGACATCGATGCGGCATGGGTTCCGGAGCCCTGGGCCACCATATTCGTTGACCAGCTGGGGGGCAAGAGGGTGTTTCCAGGAGGAGGAGCTGTGGCCCGACGGACGCTTTGCGTCGGTGCTGCTGGTGGCTAGGGCGGCATACGCAGAGGAGAATCCTGAGATAGTCGGGAAATGGATCGAATCACACAAAAAGGCCGAGGTTTGGATCAACCAACATCCACAGGAGGCAAGAATGATCTTCAACGCATACACTGACAGAGAGCTGGGAAGCTCCTTTCCAGATGACATAATTGACACCGCGCTCTCCAACATCGAGATTACTCGGATCCCGTGGCAGACTCGATCTCGGTCTTTGCACAGAGGGCCGACTCGCTGGGATACCTGGGCAGGCACGGCTACAACCTGGACGGCATCTTCTACGAGCCACCGGATGGTGGGCATGAGGAGGGAGATGTAGCGGCTCATGGTCAATCTGGAGGCAAGAAACGTCGTAAAACACTTTCAGCACGACAAATACCGGCTCAAGGCTCTGGGGGGGATAAACCTCAAGGTAGAGGACGGCGAGTTTGTGTGCCTGGTGGGCCCCTCGGGATGCGGCAAGTCCACCTTTCTTAGAATTGTCGCGGGCATGGATACGATGGACGAGGGTGAGATCCTGTTTGACGGCAAGCCCGTAACCGGTACGGGGCCGGAGAGGATCATGGTGTTTCAGGAGGGCGCCCTGTTCCCCTGGCTCAAGGTATCTGACAATGTGGAGTTTGGCCTCAAGATGGCAGGCGTTCCCAAGGACGAGCGCACGGAGATATCGCGGCGGTATCTGGACATGATGCAGCTGACAGACTTTGCAGACTCGTACACGTACCAGCTCTCCACGGGAATGAAGCAGCGCGTGGCAATAGCGAGGGCGCTCGTAATGGATCCCGACGTACTGCTGATGGACGAGCCCTTTGCCGCGCTGGATGCGCAGACCAGGGATCTGCTGCTGGTAGAGATGCAGCTCATATGGACCAGAACCAAGAAGACCATCCTGTTTGTGACGCACAACGTCTCTGAGGCCGTGGTGCTGGGCTCCCGGGTTGCAGTGTTCAGCGGCAGGCCGTCTGTGATAAAAAAAGAGATATCCATAGACTACAAGAGGCCGCGCATACCGGAGGACGGGGATCTGATGAAGTACCAACAGGACATCCTGGCCGAGCTGAGACCCGAGGTGAAGAAGGGCAAATGAAGAGCAAGCCGCAAAAGACAACGCTGAAGAAGATTGCATTCTATGCCGCACTGATCGGCATCTGGCAGGGGGTGGCAGACTCGGGGGTGTGGCCGGACGAGATATTCCCGTCACCCTATGAGGTCGCAGAAGATCTTGCCTACGGCATAGCCGACGGAAGCATTCTGCTTGGTATGGGAACCAGCATGTGGAGACTGATCGTCGGCCTGGCAATTGCAATATGCGGCGGAATGGTTCTGGGAATCTTTATGGCCAGGGTGGAGACGGTAAACCAGACCATAGGATCGCTGGTTCTTGGTCTGCAGTCCATTCCCTCGATTGCCTGGGTGCCGCTGGCGCTGATCTGGTTCGGGGTCTCCGATGCGGGAATCGTGTTTGTAACTGCGATCGGTGCAGTCTTTGCAGTCACAATAAACACGTATACCGGCGTAAAGAACATCGATCCCCACTATGTCGAGGCTGCCCGCAACATGGGTGCAAAGGAGGGCCAGCTCATCACAAACGTGCTGATTCCGGCCGCATTCCCCTACATGATATCCGGATTCAAGCAGGGATGGGCCTTTGCCTGGAGGGGTGTAATAGGGGCGGAGATTCTGTTCTCATTTCTGGGACTGGGTTTCCTGCTGAATGTGGGAAGGCAGACGATTGACGTATCCCAGGTGATCGCCATAATGGTGCTGATCATGGCTCTGGGAATGATAATCGACGGGCTGCTCTTCAAGCGGCTCGAGTTCAAGGTCATGTCGCGATGGGGCCTGCGGTAGGCTGCCTGCAGGCCAGATCCGGCCACCTGGGCCGCGTGCACACAAAATATTAAGTCCGCCGCAATCAAGACCGCTGTAAACATTTTGGAGAGCACAAGCGGCAGAACCCTGCATGAATCCCGGGCCGACGTCGAGTCGCGTCTGGCGCGCATAGAGATCTTTGGCTGGGCTACGTTGGATTTCCGCTGTCAGTCAGGGTGTCTTCGGCTAGGTTCCATGTTACTGGGCATCGACACAAACCCCGACAGGATCAAAAGACTGTCTGAGAGCCGGCTGTGCAACTCCGAGCTCAAGCTGAAGGGTGCTTTTTGGAGAACCGGAGTAGCGGATACCTTCACTGGATACCGAGAGCAGGCAGTCTCCCAATACACGGATCGGAATCATCTGCGTCCCGACCCTGGTTCCGCGAAATGGCATAGACTCCAGCGTCCATGTGGTTGCGGCAGTCAGGGACTTTCTAAAATCTGCAAGTGCAGGCGACCTTGTCATCATTGAGAGCAGCGTCGAGGTTGGAACCACCGATGAGCTCAAAAAAATGATCGAATCCTCGGGATATCATATGGGCCTGGACTTCGGACTGGCCTTCTGCCCCGAGCGCATAGACCCGCAAAACCGGAAATGGAACCTTGAGAACATTCCAAGGATAATTTACTGCTCTGACGATACCACATTCTCGATCGCAGAAAAAATCTACCACCACATCAACAACTCAAACCTGATGCGCGTCTCCTCTGCCAAGACCGCAGAGGTCGTAAAGTCCTTTGAGAACACATTCCGGCTCGTAAACGTGTCACTCGTCAACGAGCTTGCGGTTCTCTGCGACCGCCTGGGAATCAGCGTGTCCGAGGTTATTGGCGCCGCAGCGACAAAGCCCTTTGGCTTTATGCCGTTTTATCCCGGTGCGGGAGCCGGCGGCCACTGCGTACCCAAGGATCCACAGTTCCTGCTGGAATCTGCTAAAAAGCTCGGGCTTGACTTTGGCTCCATCTCAAAGGCGCTGCAGACCAACGCATTTGTGCCAAGGTATATCTTTGACTCGATAGACCGGGCGATCTCTGAGAGCTCCCTGAAGAGATCAGTCCTGGTCTGCGGCCTGGCCTACAAGCCCGACATCGAGGACATGCGCGACTCGCCGGCATTCAAGGTCATCGGCGAGTTTGCCGCCAACGGCTATGACGTGTATGCGTACGACCCGTACTTTGATGGCGATCTGATGGAAAAGTACCTGGCAGAGAACTCGATGACCGAAAAAAACTTTACCGTCCTGCCTGATCTTGCGGACGGGCAGCTGCGCGACATCTCCTGCATCTGCATAGTGCAGCACCACGCAAAGACCAGATTCCGATTAAACCGGATTTACGAGGAGTCGGTTGTCAAAATGATCTATGACTGCCAGAAGAAGATACTCTTTCATCCCGGCTCCAGGACGGTTCTAAAGTATCTGGGATAGCGCCTTTAAACCCACAACGGCTCAGTATGTCCTGTGCAGGAAACCTGTCCGTGCTGGAACGGAGGGTCTGCACCGGTACGGGGCATGAAGACAGTTTGAGCAGACGCGTGTCTGGCAGTGCTGCTCTGCACAACCAGAACTGGCATGTCCGTAGCGCAGAAGTTGGCTGTATCGCCAGTACGCCGTACAGGACATGCCAAAACCTAACAATATTAGTGACTGTATCACAACACACACGTTGGCACAAAAGGAACCGTTCCTGGATGCGCTGAAGCGCCGCATACTGCTCTTTGACGGGGCCATGGGCACCGAGATCCAGAAGCTGGATCCCAAGCCCGAGGACTTTCCAGACGGCAAGGACGGCTTCAACGACGGCCTGGTGCTCACCCATCCGGAGTGGATACGGCAGATCCACCGGAGCTACCTTGATGCCGGCGCCGACTGCATCGAGACCAACTCCTTTGGCTCAAACCGCATCAAGCTGGACGAGTACGGGTTCGGGAACCAGACGGTCGAGTTCAACCAAGAGGTGGCGCAGCTGGCAGCCGGGGTGGCATCCGGCTACACGGACAGGCCCAGATACGTGATAGGGAGCATGGGCCCCACCGGATACCTGCCCAGCTCCGATGATCCCGACCTGGGCCAGAAGCCCCTGGACGAGATCTGCCAGGCATTCGAGCTCCAGGCACGCGGCCTCATACTTGGCGGGGTTGATGCTTTACTAATCGAGACAAGCCAGGACGTGCTGGAGATCAAGCTGGCAGTGGAGGCGTGCCACAACGCAGCAGAGGCCACCAAGACCCCGACCCCGATAATCGCAAACACGACACTGGACCAGCACGGGAAGATGCTTCTTGGAACCAGCGTGCAGGCCGCGTACACCACGGTATCAGGCATGGGGATAGACATCTTCGGGCTGAACTGCTCCACTGGCCCGGTGGAGATGGTGTCCAGCGTGAAGTGGCTGGACGAGCAGGAGCACGGGGTGCTGGTGGTGCCAAACGCCGGCATGCCGGAGAACCAGCAGGGCCGCGCGGTCTACAGGATGACCCCAGATGAGATGGCAGGCGCCATGGAGGACCTGCTGCAGGAGTGCGGCAGCATCCGCATCATAGGCGGGTGCTGCGGGACGGGCCCCGGCCACATCAGGGCCCTCCGCAGGCTGATCGACGAAGAGCCTGGCAGAAGCTAGGTTTTTAGCAATATTCTGACTGGATCTACCATATGCGATTCATACCCAGAGTCAGCTCGGCGCTAAAGGCCGTGGAGATCAGGCAGGCGCCGGCCCCGCTGATAATAGGCGAGAGGCTCAACACGCAGGGCTCAAGAAAGGCAAAGCGCCTGGTGCTTGGTGACGACCTGGACGGCCTCGTGGACCTGGCAAGAATACAGGCAGAGGACGGCGCGCACTGCATCGACGTGTGCATCGCCACAACTGAGCGCGCAGACGAGGGCGAGTTCATGCTGAAGCTGGTAAAGAAGATCAGCCTGGTGGTGGACGCGCCGCTGGTGATCGACTCGACTGATCCCGACGTCATCGAGGCAGCCGTGCGACAGATACCCGGAAGGCCGCTCATCAACTCCATCAACCTGGAGGGCGACGGCTCGCGCTTTCGCAGGCTTGCGCCCCTGATGGCAAGGTACGGCCTGCCGGCAATAGCTCTGTGCATCGGCCCCGACGGCATGGCAAAGACGCCCCAGCAGAAGCTGGACACCGCCAGGCTCCTGCTCAAGACGGGAGAAAAGTACGGCCTGGAGCCGGGCCAGTTCGTCTTTGACGTACTCACGTTCACCCTCGCAACCGGCGAGCCGGAGTTCCTGGACGCCGGCAAGAACACCCTAGAGGGAATCCGGCTGGTGAGGGAGCACCTTCCGGACTCGTTTACGGTCCTGGGGCTGAGCAACATCAGCTTCGGCCTGACCCCGTACGCAAGAAAGATCCTCAACTCCGCGTTCCTGTACCATGCGGTGAGGGCGGGGCTTGACTGCGCCATCGTAAACGCCCGGGAGATAGTCCCCTACGGGGAGATCGACAAGAGGGAGAGGGATCTCGTCGAGTCCCTGATATTCAACACCCACCCTGACGCGCTCTCCGACGTAATCACGCACTTTGAGAAGGCAGGGCAGCAGGCGGCGCCCGCAAGGAAGGCGAAGATGGATCCCTCCTGGGACGCCGGAAGGAGATCCAACTTTAGGATCATCAACCGCCTCAAGGACGGAATCGAGGATGACGTGGTGTCGGCGATAGCCGAGAAGATTCCCGGCCAGGACACTACAGAGAGGGACGGCCGCCTTGCGATCGACCGCCCAAAGGACGTCACCCATGGCGCGGCCATCCAGACCCTCAACCAGGATCTCCTGCCCGCAATGAAGGAAGTCGGCGACAGGTTCGGCGCAGGCGAGCTGATCCTCCCCTTTGTCCTGAAATCCGCCGAGTGCATGAAGGCAGCAGTCGCCGAGCTGGAGAAGTACCTTCTGCGAAAGGAGGGCTCCAGCAAGGGCAGGCTGGTCCTGGGAACCGTGTACGGCGACGTACATGACATCGGCAAGAACCTCGTGAAGACGATCTTTGAGAACAACGGCTACACGGTATACGACCTGGGAAAGCAGGTCCCGCTGCAGAGGTTCCTTGAGGAGGTGGACCGGGTAAGCCCGGACGCCATCGGCCTGTCCGCACTGCTGGTGTCCACATCAAAGCAGATGAACCTCTTTGTGAGCCACGCAAGAAAGAGCGGCATGGCGCTGCCGGTGCTGTGCGGCGGCGCCGCAATCAACTCCGGCTTTATCAACCGGATCGCAAAGGAGGGGGGAGTGTATCCCGGCGGCGTGTTCTACTGCAATACTATGTTTGACGGGCTCAAGACGATGGATGCGCTGGTCAGCGGCCAAAGGCAGCAGCTTCTAGACAAGTGGAGGGGCGACCTTGAGAGGTGGCAGGAGGGCCCGGCGGCCACACCGCCCGCGCAGCCGCTGCCCAGGAGCTCCGTGGCGCCGGTGCGGCCCCCAGTCCCGCCGGTCACGGCAGAGCCCATACGGCTCTCCGGGGATGAAATCAACATGGACGAGGTGTGGCCGCTGCTGGACAAGAGGGCGCTCTTCAAGATGTCGTGGGGGCTCCGTGGAAAGGCCGGCGCCGAGTCGCAGGAGGACCATGAGGGAATACTGGAGGAGCTGAAGGGCAGGATCACAAGGGAGAACCTCTTTGAGCCGCAGATAGTCTACGGGTACTTTGGGTGCCACGCCCAAGACCAGCGGCTGACGGTGGACTACTCCGGCGGCCAGAGTCACATTTGACTTTCCGCGCTCGACCCGCCCAAAGCACCTCTGCATCACGGACTACTTTGGCAGGGACGACGTGGTAGCCTTCCAGTCAGTTACGGTGGGGGAGATCGTCTCCCGCGTCGCCCACAAATGGGACCAGGAGGGCAGGTATGCCGATGCCCTGTACCTGCAGGGGCTGGCAGTCCAGACCGCGGAGGCCCTGGCGGAGTGGACAAACCGCAGGATAATATCCGAGCTGGGGCTGAAGCGGGGAGGATTGAGGTACAGCTGGGGGTACGCCAGCTGCCCGGACGTGTCGCAGCACTTTGCCGTGTGGAAGCTGCTGGAGCCAGAAAAGTCCGGAATGACTTTGACCTCGGCGGGGCAGATAGACCCGGAGCAGTCCACCGCGGCGATCGTTCTCCATCATCCCGAGGCGGAGTACTTTGTCCTCTGAAGGGTGTCCTTGGCCGCGGCAAAGTCGTTTGGCGATGTCAGCAGGACGTCCCCTGCCATGTCGTGAATCCGCGTGATGAACCCTGCCGGATTGTTCCTATATGGGGACCAGTCAAGCCCTAGGAACTCTGCCGAGCGCGCGTTCTTCTCTGAGGGCAGAAGGATGCACGGAATGATCCTGAATCCCTGCGGCTTCAGCCTGCGGCATACCCACTCCACCTGATCCGCCGAGTGGATCACCTGTGTCACAAAGCCCGCCGGCCCGGCATCGATCTTTTTTCGGATCTTTGAAAAGTTGGGATTTGCGGGAAGCGAGAGGTAGAACGCGATCTTCTTTTCGTACCTGGATCGGACGAGACTGCCGGCCACCGAGCTGGGAACCAGCCCCAGGTCGGCCCGGCCGTCCTGTGACGGATCCCCCATCAGGACCAGTACCCCGTCTATGCCTGCCGATGCGTACTCCTCCACCAGCTCCTCTATTCTCTGCATGTTCCTGTCCCTTACCCGCATGCTGGCGGTGACCTGGAGGCTTTGGTGCCTCTCTTTTATGCGCCTTGCCATCAAGACTGCAGGGACCCTCCTCGTTCCCAGTACGGAGTCTGTCACGTGGATGCCGTCGCACAGCGGGCTGATCTCATCCACCCGCAGCAGCTGCGCCGATATCCGTGGCTCCGGATCGTCGTCTGGCTCTCCTGTAACCCTGGGCGGGTTTATCTCGTAGATTATGGCCACATGCTGTCTCGTCGCCTGCTCCGTTAAAACTGTACATCCTCAGGTGGCTGTGTCCTACGGACATATACTCCCTCAAAATCGCAAGGCGTAATGATCCAATGATCGCGGCCCGACCCAATGAAAAAAAGAAAACGCGTCCAGCAGCATCTGCCGGGCCTCATACTGGGCACGATACTGGGGATAGTAGAGGATCTGGGCGACCCCTACCAGGCCAAACCCGAACCGGGCGGCACGACCGCCTACCCGCCAAAGTCCATGGCCGTCGCCTGCATCCCCATGGATGCCGAGACGCGCACCTGCCGAAAGATGGTGGGCCACCTCAGGATCAACCCGAATCTGGTCCGGAAGGTGGGGCTGCCCAGGATACCCTCCAAGAGCACCATCCGGCGCGCCTATGGCATGATTCCCGAGGCTTACCTGCGGGAGGTCCACACGAGGATCATCGGCGACGTCATGGTGACCGGCTCGTTGGCCGGGGACAGCACAGGCCGCTCCAGCAACAGGTTCGTTCGGTGGTTCAGCGTCCGCCACGACTAGGTCAGGCTCAAGCGCGGCCGGGTCAAGCTGCACAGCATCGTCGACGTCTCCACCAGGACCGTCCTAGACTACCCGGTCACCGACGGGTACGCCTCCGACATCACAGGATTGTGGCCGATGCTGGGAAGGATCGAAGAGGGCACGGGTTTCTTCTGCCTGGACTCGGCTTACCCGGCCAGGAAGATCTGCGACGCCATATCCGACAAGGGCACGGTGCCGCGCATCCGGCCCAAGTCCAATGCCGTCTGCAAGAACGGGGGCAGCCAGGCTTGGGGCGACATGGCCAGAACGCGCAGGGACGGGCTGGCCCGGTTCATGGACGAGTGCCACCAGCGCAGCATAATCGAGGCCGTCTTTGGAGCAATCAAGAGAATGTACGGGAACCACCTCAGGAGTCGCAGGCGCGCCCGGCAGAGCCGCAAGGCAGCAACCTGCGTCATCTGCTACAACATCGAGGTGGTCGCGCGATCGCAAGTAAAAGACGGTAGGCTCACGCACGAGTCGCTCACTGCAACGGCTGCGTAACAGGCGCGGTAACCGTCGCGCCGCCCGTGGGGGAGCCTGCGCACCACCCTTGGATCAGATTGGATTTTACGGTTTCGGACAGACTTTGAAGCCGGCGGTATGCGAAAAATGCCACAATCCCAAAAACTCGAAGAATGCCTGTACCGGGACGACACCGGCGGATGATTGTGGGGCTGTGTCTCCAGGACACAGCCGCTATTCCCCGCTAGGGGAGGGGGGCGGGCGCTACCGCCGTCGGCGCAAGTCGCCAGGCTCCTTGGCAGCGGTTGCTCGAGCCCCCTCGTACCCTGCGCGGTAGGCCACCTCGTACAGGTGGACGATGCCGCCCATCCGGCGGCCGGAGGCGGCGGCTTTGTAGTCGACGTCCAGTGCGTTCTTGAACCTCCTCTGGCGGGCCAGCTCGGCCTCGGAGGCAAACAGCCACTCCATAGTGCCCGACAGCCTCTGGTGCAGCTCCTGAAACACCTCTTCGGGTATCCCGTCCTCAACATCGGGGGGAATGCCATCGGGGATGCCGCCCATCCCGGCCTGCCGGCTCTGCCGGGGGTTTAACCCACAGGCCCCCGCCAAGGCCCCCCCGTAGCCCGACTCGAAGGCGGATCCGTCGGAGGTCGCGTAGGCGCCTGCCACCAGCGCCATGTAGACCGCCTCGAAGGTGTTGTCGGTTATCATGTTGACTATCTGGTCGGCGGCCTCGTTCAGGGACAGCTTCTCGGCGCCGCGGACGGCGGTCTGGTACTTGCGTCGGTACTCGGCATCCGCGGCGATCATCGCGGAGAGCGCTGCCACAAAACCCACGACGAGATCGTCGTGCCGGCGCGCCACCTCCGGCAGATCCTCACAGGCTTCCCTGATGGCCTCTGCCAGGTTGGCTGGCTGGACGCCTTGTATGGCCACCCCGAAGACGGCCGCCGTGGCGGCGTGCACGGGCGCCCCGATCAGGACTATCTCGGATGTCATCTGGACGGTTCTGTCGGCGATATCCCGGGCGCCGTCGGTGGCGGCCCTGACCGCCGCGATGCCGTCGTCCCGTCCGAGGCGGACCTTGGCTGCCCTGACGGCGGCAGCCCTCATCCTGCGCAGCAGGCGACTGTCACCTGCCTTTCCCGCCTTGGCGGGTATCTTGGCGAACAGGTCGTTGGCTGCCTGCCGGGCGGCCATCCGGATTAGACGGCCGGGGATGGACATGACGGCCCTGCGCATCCGGTCGTAGTTGGAGGGGATGCTTGAGTCGGTTACGGCGCCCACCGCAGCCCTCAGCGCCGTATCAAAGACGCTGGAGCCGATATTCCCCGGCTCGGTCTCGGCTACCGCCTCTCGGGCGGCCATAAAGACCGCCCTGAGGCCCGACTTCCCTGGTACAGTCTGGTAGGTCGCCACGCCCGCGTCGTCGGCCGCCTCCGCGGCCGCCTCCACCGCGTCAGCGATGGTCAGCGTGAGAGTGTCCTGAAAGCTGCCATCCTTGGGCTGGCGCCGCCGGCCGGTCATGTGTAGTGGGTGTGCTACACAGGTATATCAGTAGTTGGAAATGTACGGCTGTGTCCTATAAACAAAAACCCCTTCTCCATGCCAGATGCCGAAGACATTGAATGCGTCTGAGAATTCACGGACGTCTGCGGGCAATGCCGCGCCTTTGATCGGCGCACATAAGATTAATTCCCTTAAAACTTTTAAGACAAATTCAATAGTGCGCGGCGCCTGGGTACGGGTAGTGGATCTGCGTCTCATCAAGTCCACGCTGGCAGGGGGGTTTGACCCCGCGGCTGCCGGCGGGGGGTACAGGCCTGCCTCCGTTCTGGTGGTGATATACGGCAGCGAGCCGCGCGTGATAATGACCGAGAAGCCCAGATCCCTGAAGATACATGCGGGCGAGATCTCCTTTCCGGGAGGCAAGCGCGAGGGGCGGGATCGGGATCTTCTGGATACCGCCCTGCGCGAGACCGCAGAGGAGATAGGGCTCGCAGTCCGCCGGGAGCAGGTCATCGGACAGCTGGCAAGCGTCACCACGCTCAACTCCGGCTTTGTGATATCGCCGTTTGTGGCGGTTCTGGACGACGTTCCGACGCTCTCCGCAAACCCTGAAGTCCAGGAGATACTGCGCATTCCCCTGGAGCCGCTTCTGAAGACCATGGCAGACGATCCAGCCAGGGAGCACCGCCTCCTCGAGGGAATGTACACGTTTGAGCACGGGGGCAGGATCATCTGGGGCGCATCTGCAAGGATACTGAGGCAGATTGCTCTGAGGGTGGCGTAAGGCGCCGACCGCGTTTTAGATGTGGATTCGCTTGCACGGGTATTTGACGCATATCTTGGCCCAGTCTGTGCTGCCTTTGGGCAAAGTGGCGCCATATCCCTGTAACGCCAACTTTTTGGGTGACGGGGTTCTCACGCTTTTTTTTAAAAAGGGGAATATCATAAAGCAATTACTGTGGCTCTTTTATTCCATGAACCTGCCTAGAATCGCTTGGGCGGACGGTCAGACCATTGCACCGGGCGGTTGGCGCATGCAGGCTTTGTCCGCGGCCCTGATCAAACCGGCAGAGCCTATAAGATCAATTCCCATTAATTTAAAAAGAGCTCCTTTGGCTTGTGAACCTATGGCTGCTCGCAAGACCTCTAGCAGAAAGATCCGTCTTATCAAGAAGACAAAGGAGACATCCCCAGTCCCAGCTTGGGTGATAGCCAAAACCAAGCGCACCGTAAAGACCAATCCCAAACGCAGAAACTGGAGATCCACTGACGTGGAGGTCGGCTAGATGTCCGAAGAGGCAGAGCGCATTTACACCATAAACCTGGGCAAGGTTCTGCTCTCGCCCAACAATATACGCGCAAAGCGCGCCATCAATATGATAAAGGAGTTTACCATGCACCACATGAAGACCAATAGCGTTCGGATAAGCGAGGACGTGGCACATTATGTCTGGAAGAGGGGAATAAAGCACCCCCCAAGAAAGATCAGGGTGGGAATGGAGCGTACCGATGAGGGATTTGTCTTGGTATACCTGTACGACAAGGACGAGGCAGCAGCCGATGCGACACCTGCAGCTGTGGAGCCAACAGAGCCCGAGCTCCCAGAGCAGCCGCCATCCCCGGCAGGAAGGGGTGGCAGAACTGCCGGAGCCCGAAGCAGAACCGTCAGAACCAGAGGCAGAACCGCTAGAGCCAGAAGTAGAACAGCCAGAACCCCAAGCGGAACCGCCGGCGACCAAGGCAGAACAGCCAGGACCTCAAACGGAACCGCCGGAGACCAAAGCAGAGCAGCCAGAGTCCGAGACAGATCAGCCAAAGACCAAGACAGAGTAGCCCGCATCCTCTGCACGGCAGCAGCTCACAGCATCGTCCGGGTTTGCAGAGTGTTCAAGACAGGTATCTTACAAAGCAGCGTGGTTCCGGTACAGATATTGTGAAACGGCCTGCCGCTGGTTCTGCCGAAGGATCAGATCTTATTCAAGTTGATAAAAGCCCAGCCCGCAGTCCATGCTACAGTCCGGCTCGTCCCAGTCCAGCGTGGACTCGGGCGGGATCACCCCAAGGGGATCATAACTGTCAAAGCGCGTCTCCCCCTGCACCGAGGACACCATGACGATTCCGGACGCGTCCGAAGAGTTTGCCGAGATCTCCACCTGCGCGCCCTCCCCAAGAACCTCCGATGCCATGTCCCGAACCGAGCGGAGCGCCCCCAGCGGGACGGCGTTTCCTCCCATGGCGTAGACTATGGATCGCTTTATGCAGCCGGGGCGGGTGCTTCCGTAGAGGACCTTCAGCGAGTCCCGCAGGGACGTCTCCATGTCTGGATTGCTGCGGCCGGCAGAGACGATCCCGACTCCGGGCATCTCTGGCCATTCCAGTGATGATATAACGTGAAGCATGGCGGAGTTGGTGATCCCGTAGCACTGGGCGGGGGTCAGATCCGGATTGCTGTCCAGCACGGCATCGTTGTCCACCACTACAACAAAGTCAGCATCGGCCCTCAGCCGCTTCAGGGCGACGCCGGACGCAAAGATCCGGCCCTTTTCATACCCGAAGGGCATTATCGCAAAGCAGGCAACATTCTTGCCCCTTGCGATGTTTGATACGACGGGGGCCATGGCGGCTCCGTCCTTTCCGGCCAGATTGCATATCATAACTATCGAGGCGTAGCCGTCCAGCCTGTCCCGAATCCTCTGCGTCTCCTTGAGGGCAAACCCCCTCAAGAGATGCACGGACGGGTTTAGCACGGACTCGGTGGATACCCTGATGTCCGCATCTTTTGCGTCCTGGCTGATTGTCATGGTGTCATACCCCAGTAACTCTCCGGCCTGCCGCGCCAGCTTGGAGCCGGCTCCGCCAACCCCGACAATCAGGACAGGCTCTGTAAATTGAGATGCCACTGGTATATACTCCACAATAAACTACAAAAGCCCATCACTAAGCTTTAGTCAAACCGAGGATTCGTTTTATTTAGCTCTTGATGGTCCCCACCAGGCTGTGGTTTGTCGCAGACGTGATCTCGACCGTATGCACAGAACCGATATCTGTGGGCTCCCCGACGAAGACGGGCTTGTACGCATAGTTCCGCCCCCTGACCCCGTCCTCTGCCGTCTCGCCAAAGACCACGGGCCCGCTCCATCCTATCCATTCCCTGTTGTGCTCCAGGGAGATGCGGCAGGACAGCTCGAAGATGCGCTTGCTCCTCCTCTTCACCTCGGCCACGTCCACCTGCTCCATCTCCGCTGCCGGGGTTCCGGGCCTGGCGCTGTACCTTGAGAGGTTGACGATGTCCGGGCGCGTCTCCTCCAGGAGCCGGACCGTCTCCTCAAAGTCACTGGTGGTCTCGGTGGGAAACCCCACTATGATGTCCGTGGATATGGTAAACCTGCCGAACTTTCTGCGGAACCTCTTCGCCACATCCCGGAAGGTCTCCGCGGTGTGGCCGCGCCTCATGTCCGCAAGGACCCGGTTGCTGCCGCTCTGGACCGGGACGTGAAGAAACCTGTACACCCTCTCGCTCTCAAAGGACGAGAGCAGGCCGTCCCTTATCCTTGGCATGTACATGGGGTTCATCATGCCCACCCGGACCATAAAGTCGCGGGGCACCGCGGACACCGCGTCTATCAGCTCCGGCAGGTCCGAGCCGATGTCAAGGCCGTAGCACCCGTTGTCAGTCGAGCTCAGCCAGATCTCCTTGCAGCCGTCGGCAACGTCCGCTTCTGCCTGCCGTACTATGTCCCCGACGCGGTAGCTTGTGAGGCCGCCCTTGGCCAGCTTGGTCTGGCAGAACGTGCACTCGCTCATGCATCCGCTGGCGATCTCTATTATCCCGACCGCGGGATTCAGCCTGACCCTGGGCAGCCCAACCTTTGAGAGGTCCGTGTCCTCCAGGGCAACGGTCCGCACTCCGCCCAGCGCCGACTCGACCACCTGCAGCGTCCTTCCGATGGAGCCGGGGCCCATCATGCTGGCCCCCGGGGCAAACCTCTCCACCGTCTTGGGCTCCGCCTTGGGGAGGCAGCCTGCCACCACCAGCGGCCCCGAGCCCAGCGACTTTATCCGGTGGATCATCCTGTTGGCCGTGGCGTCCTTTACGGAGCAGGTGACTATGACGGAGAGATCGGACTCTGCGGCGCTCTCTGCCACGGTGTGTCCGCCGTTTACTATCAGGCCGGAGATCATCTCAGAGTCGGCAGAGCTTGCCGAGCACCCGTACGCCTCTACATGTATCCTTGCCATCTCTACCCGAATATTTCATCCAGCTCTTCTTGCGGAGCATCCCCTTCTCCAGCACCAGCTCCCTGATGGTCTTGCCGGTCTTCAGGGACTCCTTGAACAGCTCGGCCGACTTGAGGTAACCGATCTTGGGACGCAAGAAGCGTGACTATGACCGGGCTGTTCTCTATGTTCTTTTGCAGGCGCCCCCTGTCCGCGGTCAGGCCGTCGATCAGGTTTGCAGAGAAGACCGGCAGAAAGTTCTTGAGCATGTCTGTTGATTCTAGCATGCACTTTAGCATGCCCGGCAGCATTACGTTCAGCTCGAACTGCCCGCCCTGGGCGGCGTGGGCCACTGCGGCGTCATTCCCGATTATGCAAAAGCAGATCATGTTCATGCACTCGGCCAGCGACGGGTTTACCTTTCCTGGCATGATCGACGAGCCGGCGTGCACCGCGGGAATCCCAAGCTCCGAGAGACCCAGCAACGGGCCCCGATGCCATCAGCCTGATGTCGTTTGCGAGCCTGCCAAGCTCCAGCGCCAGGTTCCGCAGTGACGCGGATGCCTTTGCGACGGCAAACCTGCTCTGCAACGCGTACTGCATGTCCTGCTCCGGTACCAGCGGAAGCCCCGAGATCTCTGCCAGCTCCGTGATTGCTGTCTCTCTGTACCCTTCTGGCGTGTTTGCCCCGGTGCCCACAGCTGTTGCCCCAAGCGCCACTGGCTCCAGCGTCTTTTGCGCCTCTGCGATGGCGTCCCTGGCCTTTGTGATGGCAGTGGCATATGCGGCAAACTCGCCGCCCAGGGTTACCGGCAGGGCGTCCATCAGGTGCGTCCTTCCTATCTTTTTGCACGGCGCAAACTGCTCTGCCTTTCTTGAGAGTGAGCCGATGAGCGCATCTATTGCCTGCACGGCTTGGACTAGATTTTCCAGGATGGCGACATGCATCGCGGTGGGAAACGTGTCGTTGCTTGACTGGGACATGTTCACGTGGTCGTTTGGGTGCAGGTGCTGGTACTGTCCCTTCTCCTTGCCCATTATCTCCAGCGCCACGTTGGCGATCACCTCGTTTGAGTTCATGTTAAAGGCGGTTCCCGCCCCTGAGTTGATCGCATCCACCACAAACTGGTCCACAAACCGGCCAGCCAGAATCTGATCGCAGGCCTCGACGATGGTGTCGCCGCGCTCCGCGTCCATGACTCCCGTCTTCATGTTGGCAACGGCGGCCGATCGCTTTATCATGACAAACGCCCGTATCAGGTTGTCATGGGATCTGGCTCCCGTTACCGAGTATTGCCTGACGGCCCTTCCGGTAAACGGACCGTAGTATGCGTCCGATGGAATGCTGACCTCTCCCAGCGAGTCGGTATCTGTTCTGTACTCCACGTTCAATCTGTGGAATACTTTTCCACTTAATTTCCTTTTGTATGCGCCCCGGCGTTTGTGGCAGGCTACGGCCCACACCGTTCTGATCCATTCCAGTTCATGACGATGTTTGGAGCCAGGCCAGGCAAGTGCTTTTTGTGGGAACCGCTTCGCGGAGTGTCCGCCCGTCGACATCGACATGTTTGGAACCAGATCCGACAGGCTCCCCCTAAAGGGGCCGCACACTTGGCATTCACATGTCCTGCCACCACGGGGCAGGCCGCCATCACCCGGTTAGCGTACTCTTCGGTATGACAGGGTATGCGCCAGTGGAACACAACAGGTCAGGGGCGGTATGTGTATGCTGGACATAGCGGCCAAAGTTAGTACTTTTATATAGTTTGGTATAAGCACCAATCTAATGAATAGACGTTTAAGCATGATGTTTACCGTTGCTGCAGTAGCAGTAATGGGAGCAACACTGCTTGGAAGTAACTACACACAGACACAGATTGCCGGTCAAACACTTGACCTTGAGGCAATGGATATCGACGTATTAGAACAGATCCACGCAATGGGAGGTCTGGAACTCGTAATGCCAAGCGCATTTGCCGAGACAGACTGCACTGCGCTGGAAGAGAGTGGCCGCACGGTTCACGACTTTCAGCTGACAGGCGACACCGTTGAACTGCCCATGCTGGGACACACGGCTGAAGAGCCAAAGATGTTCCAGGCAATGGTCTTCAACGATCAGGTTCCAGGTCCGACGATCCGCGTCACACAGGGCGATGTCATCAAGATGACGCTTACCATCCCTGCTGACGAGACAACGGCACACGGAAACGACATGCATGCATCCCAGGTGTCATCTGCAACCTTCGGCGCTGTACAGCCCGGAGAGTCCAGAGCATTCTGCTACATTGCACACTCTGCCGGCGTATTCAAGTACCACTGCTCAGGTGTCGACCTGGTGGCAATGGACCAGCACGTACTCTCGGGTATGTATGGCATTACCATAGTCGACCCGGCAGACGGCTACAAGAGACTGGTGGTTGAGAAGACCAGCGGCAGCGGCGAGGTGGACAGACAGTTCTATGACGCAGACGCACTGGAGTTCCAACTGCAGTACAACCAGATGTACCTCACGGGCGCAGGACTCTACGATGCACAGGCAATGTTTGCACATCACAACACACACTCAGTCGTCAACGGAATACCGTTCAGCTACGTTCCAAACGGAGTGCACAACCTGCTTATTGCAGGATCCATGGACGATAACATCTTCGTGGCCCAGCCATGGAATGATGTCGGACTAAAGCAGTACCAGTCGCAGCTTCTCTATGTAGAGCTTGACCAGCACGTAAGAATCTTCGTCGAGAACCAGGGCAACGAGCCCGTGTTCTTCCACATAGTGGGCGAGATTCTGGATCGTGTGGTACAGGGCAACAGGGTGCAGTCCGCTGCAACCGAGACGTGGCTTCTTGGCGGCTCTCAGAACATGATCGTTGATCTAGTATTTGACGAGCCCGGAACATACGCAGCAGTCAACCACGACTATGCCGCAATCTACACTGGAGCGCTCACTGTCTTTGTGGCAGGAGATCCCTTCAGCCTGAACCCGGCACTAGTTGACCTAGGTGTAATCCCAGAGCCTGTGTCGTCATACGCATACGTGCTGGGCAACCCAAGTGATGCAGTACCTCCAACAGGCATGAACAGCATCGCACACCCGGCAGTAAACGTTCACGGATTGTATACCGATGAGCGCGCAGCTGAAATCCAGGCAGATGGTGCAGTAGCATTGTGGGAAGTACTACCTCCGATTCTGGAATCCGCAGGACTTCTGTAACCCAATACACTATACCTTTTTTTATTTTTGAGACTCTCTAGCAGGCGTGCTCTTCTCCGATCCCGTTCATCATGTCTGTGAAGTCAAATGCCTGGTAGCTCTTGGTCGCAGAGTAGGGCACAAAGCCCAGTATGCTTGCCCGCACCTCCGTGGTGATGACCAGCGAGGCCGGATCGACGCGCTGCGGTATGACGTCGTTTGCCATGGCATCAAAGTGCAGCGCGAGGTACTGGATCTCCTCTTGGACACCGGTCGTAAACTGGCCCTGCTCCACATATGCGGAGTTCGGCTCCAGGAACCTTCCAGGAAGGCTTAGCTGGCCTATCTGGCTGCCCTCGTTGATGATGGTGATGTCCAGGCCGTTGATGCGTGCGTAGAGCATGGTGGGGTTGCACACCGAGACCTTCTCTCCGTTGATCATCCTAAAGTAGCTGAAACCCTCGTCGTCGGGCGCCCCCAGCCGAATGCCGTCTGCCACCACCACGCCGAATGCAGAGAATGCGACGGTACCGGCAATTACTACTGACGCGATGGCTACAATTATCGTGTGCGGGTTCATTGTTGGCCGACCCTTATGGCCCCGTGGTTGATCAGGTACTCGATGGCTCCCGCATACTCATGATCCGCGATCTGCCCCTGGATCCACCACGCCGTTATGACTTTCACCCATTCGGGGATTGACGCCCTGCCGTCGTCTGGCGCCGGCGGTGCGTCAACCTGCAGTATGCCCTGGTCAACCAGGTACTCGATTGCGGACAGGTAGTACTCCTCGCCTGCTCCGGCGATCCACAGCCTCCCGGCGTCCTTGATCCAGGTGGGAATCACCGCCCGCCCGGAGTCCATCAGGGTAAATGCGGTCTCGCTCTGGGACTCGCCGTAGTAGATCTCCAGCACCCACTCTCCCACAGGGTACGTAGCAGCCTCAAACGGAAACGGCGACACGAACTCGGTTACCGGCTGGGACACAGGCAGCGGGATGGACGAGCTCTTCTTGCCGCCGGCATCCACAATGTACAGGAATGCCGGCTCGCCTGTCACCTCGCTTACGGTCACCGTATACGTGAGGCGATCCCCGTAGTAGTAGATCTCCTGCGCGGCCTCAATGGAGATATCGGCAGCATGTGCTGCCGGGAGGGCCGCGCACAGAAGGGCAAGGCATGACGCCATCAGGGCGTATCGGTTCATTTGGTATATCGTGTGGTAGTGTCCTTAAAAACCTCAGGTTTTGATCTGCCCGTGCCGGATGCAGACCGAGACGCCAGCGGCGCAGCCGCCTGCTGCGCATCACACCCGTATGGCTCCTGCCCCTATGAGGTACTCCATTCCGGCCACAAACGTCGCGTCGTCTATCTGCCCGTCGGCCCACAGCGCGGCAACCCACTTTACCCATCCGGGAACCGCAGCGTCACCTGTGTTTTCTGCCCCCTGGATGATCCCCTCATCCACCAGGAACTTGATCCCCATGAGAAACACCTCGTCGCCTCCCTCCTGGCCTGACCACCAGAGGGCGTTGGTCCTCATCCAGTCCGGAATGAGTATGCTGTCTCCCAGCTCCCAGCCCTCCCCAAAGCCGGTTATCAGGATGTCCCCGCTCTCCCGGGCATCCACGACAAACGCAACATGCCAGCTCCCCCACTCGTCCACGCTCTGGACTATCTCCTTCTGCTGGCCGTTTACAAACACGGCAAACCTCTCGCTCTCGTCGAACACCGGAAACTCAAAGTTTGCATAGGTCTCAAGCGGGAAGCTGTTCTGCGTCCGCATGCGAAGCTCCGTCCCCTCATCGTTGAACGCCGGGTACGCGTACCAAGATCCGGACTCGTACCTGAAGTAGAACTTGCTGCCGTTTCTCTCGGTGTAGACCGGCTTGACAAACGAGTCGGCAATGGCAAAGCAGCTGTAGTAGAAGATCTCCTCGGATACGGCGGGATCCGGATACATGGAGAACCCGAGGATCTCTCCGGGCCCCATGCTGCCGATCAGCTCTGCGCTCCGGCCTGCATCAAGGACGCGGTGGTCCGTGCCGTGCATTACCGCAAGGATGCTGACGTTGTGCATGGTGTCGTTGCCGACGTTGATCACCCGCCCCGTCAGGTGCCCGTCGTCGTGCACTATGAGGGTCTTATCGTATATGACCTGGATGCTGGTGGGGCTCCTCTGTATGGCGACGTAGGATACCTCCGGTGCCAGGAGTATGGGCGAGTCGCCAGACACTGCCAGCCCTACCCTGAAGGGCATCTCGCCTGATGGGGCCACCGGCATGTGCAGAAACGACTCGGTTACGGTTGCGCCCCCATCCAGCACGCTGACGGTGATCCTGGGCACTATGTGGTACGGTTCGTGGTTCTTGACGGATCCCACAACCGTATACGTACCGCGCGAGTCAAAAAAGCCGACAGTCTCCAGCACCTCGACCCCGTCCCCTGCCGCACCGGCAGTCTGCATGCCCGCAGAGCCTGCGGCAAAGAGCAGCGCCGCTGCCAGCCCCAAGAGAACCACGTCTTCTTGCCGTCTCACACCGTGTATGGTGCGGCGTGACATCAATAAAAATACGCTTTCTTTGCGCCGCCGCGCCGGGCTGCGCCCGCGCACACCCGGGCGGGTCGCAACGGACTGAGATCCTGGTTGGGAACCACGCCAGGGATCCGGCATCGGACATAACAGCTTTATATCTTGTTCAAATAACGGATTACCGTTGACTTTTGACCAAGACGTACTGATATGTGACAAGGTGGATAGCATCCTGGGACGGATTCTGACGGAGAACGGCCTGAAGGTGACCTACGAGCCGGAGATCACGCCGGCCCAGCTGTCCGAAGAGATAGCCCGGTTTGACATAGTGATAGTGCGGAGCAGAACCAAGCTCACAAAGGATCTGATAGGCAGGGCCAGTAGGTGCAAGATCATCGCCCGGGTCGGTGTGGGCCTTGACAACGTCGATCTTGACGCGGCAAAGGCAGGCGAGATCCGCGTAATCAATGCCGCCGAGGGCGCCATGACCGCGGTGGCAGAACTCGTCTTGGGCCTGATGCTGGGGCTGGCAAGGCAGGTTCCGCGGATGGACCGGGCAATGCGGAACGGCCAGTGGCTGAAGAAGCAGGCTGCGGGATCCGAGCTGAAGGGCAAGTACCTGGGCATAGTGGGGCTTGGAAACATCGGAAAGCGGCTGGGGCGGCTTGCCAGGGGCCTCAACATGAACATCATAGGCTACGACGTGGTTCCCGTGGACAAGGAGTTCTCCCGTGACGTGGGCATGCTCAAGACCGATCTGGATACGCTTCTCCAAAGCTCGGATTACATCTCACTGCATGTGCCGCTGCTAAAGTCGACATACCACATGATCAACGAAGAGAAGCTCTCCCTGATGAAGCCCACGGCAAAGATAATCAACACATCCCGGGGCGGGATAGTTGACGAGGATGCGCTGTACGGCGCGCTCAAAGACGGGAGGCTGGGGGGAGCGGCACTGGACGTGTTTGAGAGCGAGCCTGCGACGGGCCACCGGCTGACAGAGCTTGATAACGTGATCCTGACACCGCACATGGGGGCCCAGACGGTCGAGGCCCAGACACTGGCTGCAAACATCGTGGCAGAGAAGATCATTCAGATTCTGAGAGGGGTAATCTAGATGCGCTGCCCCGCATATCACACTTTTTAAGTTGGATTTGCCAAGTCCAACCAGTATTGATAAGAAAACCTGTCGTTCTGGCGTTGCTGATGGCAATGGTGCCGCTGTATGCGGGCGCCGAGCCGGGAGACATACCCGTTGATGTGGACGGCACAGCGTACTCCGTACAGTACGATGCCCAGAATGTGGAGGTACTTCAGGTTTTACCGGATCCGGATATCGCCCTGCTGTCCTTTGACGTGCTGGTTGCCGATCCCTCCGGGATCCTGGAGATCACGCTTGAGCGGGCCCTGTTTGATGCGGTATCCGACGACGGCGACGAGGAGTTCTTCGCTATTGCCGATGGCGGCCGCATTGTGGATGTCGTAGAAGTTGCGACAACAGAGCAGAGCAGAACCATCCGGCTCGCACTTGAAGGCGGAACGCTCTCCGTGGATGTAATTGGAACCAGGCTGGGCGCGGACACGCCAGAGCCCATATCCGACTCCCCACCTGCAGACAAACCCACACCGGACGAGCCACCTGCTGACAAACCAGCACCTGATGAACCACCTGCAGACAAACCCACACCGGACGCGCCACCCACAGACAAGCCCGCACCCGATGCCCAGGATCCGGATGCAGAAGCGCCGGACGTACCGGAGCAGGACCCATCTGCCGGCGCCTCTTCGGGCCTGCTCGTCGGAATATCCGCTGCAGCCACAATTGCCGCCGTGGTAATTATCCTGCTGTACCTGATCAGGGTGCTGGACAGAAGGGCAAGAAGAAGATCCCAGTCCGCAGAGTCCTAGCGCCGCACCTCTGCCTGTCGAATTCGACTCATCCAAGACATGCCTCCTGATGGATGCGGCACGGTGCTCCACGGCAGTGGGCTGTTCCGCGACCGATCTCATATCTAAAGGTATATGTATGACACTCGGCGTGCTTTAATCTGCGAAATGCCTACACGCCAGGATCAAACATGGATCAATATGCTAAAAGAGAACTCGCCGGAGCTGAGAAGCCGGGCAGTCATCTGGAGGCGGGAGAACGCAGTCACCCGGATAGAGAAGCCCAGCCGGATACAGCGTGCCCGCCGCCTGGGGTACAAGGCAAAGCAGGGAATCATCGTGGTTCGAATGAGGGTCGGAGTCGGAGGAATGAGAAGACGGCGTCCACGCGGTGGACGGAGACCCAAGCACCTTGGTGTTACCCGCATCAAGGCAGACGTAAGCATGAGACAGGTGGCAGAGAACCGCATTCTTCAAAGATACCCGAACCTGAATCTTCTAGGCTCGTACTTTGTCTACAAGGACGGCAGGCACCACTGGTTTGAGATAATTCTGGCGGATCCCTCACACCCGCGAATCATCCAGGACAAGGAGATAAAGGGCCGGATATCCGTAGCTGCCTGACTGCGCGAATGCTGATTAGGTCCTGCCATAACTGCTGATGGTGCCGTGTTCTGATGCCCTATTCCGCGAGCAGCTTCTGAATCGTGTGTCTTAGATTCGTGCCCTGTCCAAAGGACACGTCCCTGAGCACGCCCTCTCTGTCCACCAGGATTGTGGACGGGGTTCCCTGTAGGGCGTACATCTCAAATGTCTCTGCCGTGTACTCCTTTGCTCCCATGTAGTCCCGAACCTTCTGAATTACCTGCTGCCGGTTCTCCGGGGGGTGCGAGTCAAAGTCCGGAATCTGGGCGGTGATAAAGTCCATGATCTTCTCTTGGCTCACCTCGCCGTTACTCCTAGCGACCTGGTCCATTGCAAGCGGGAACGGGATTTTGTACTTGAGCCTGTCCTGGTCCAGCTGGCTGTGCTGGGACAGGGCCGTCCTGGTCTCGCCCACTACCTCGCCTGTCTCTGCCAGCATCCTGAGGTTGTCCAGGGTGTTCTTGTCATAGTCCTCAAACGCCGTTGCCAGTCCCAGCACGCGGACGCCGTCATCTGCATACTCGTTGTAGATGTCGATGGCGCTGGGTATGCCGTACAGGAAGCATCCCGGGCAGTTTACCTGGAACACCTCCACCAGGACGATCTTGTCCTTCTCCTGATCCAGGTTTGTGGGCATCCCCTGAACCCACTCCGAGATGTGCAGGTTGGGCGCCATTTGGCCTACTCTGGCAAGCATGCTATCACTTGCCTGGTTTTGTATTAAAAAAGGTACTTGTCAGGCACGTCACTGGCTCCGGGCCGGTGCGCCGCTCTCGACTAGAATAATATAGTGTCATGGATCCGCCCTCCATATGAGCGGTAACCGTGTGGTAACACAGGAGCGGCTTGACGCCCTTGTGGAGATGGAGGAGAGATACGAGCGGGGCGATACCGGATACTTTGCCGGCCTGCTGGGACACGGCGACTATGTGGTGCGAACGCGAGCCACCTGCATCCTGGCGGACTTTGGCGGGGAAGACAAGATACCGCACATTGCCCGGGTCCTCAAGAGCGATCCAAACGAGCTGGTCAGGCACGAGGCGGCCTTCTCCCTGGGCCAGATGGGATACGCCGGCGGCGTAAAACACCTTGAGGATGCCACCCTGAACGACTCCAGCATGTTTGTAAGGCACGAGGCGGCGATAGCGCTGGGCGTAATCGGAAACAGGGATGCCAGGCAGGCCCTGGAGAGGGCGCTAGACGATCCCGACCCGCCGGTGGTCGAGTCTGCCGTGGTTGCGCTCTCCAACATCGAGTTCATGGAGAAGCTCAGCAAGAACGAAAAGTTTGCAAGGCTCACGGGCGGCTAGCCCGGGCGGCCGCGTGCCGGGCCGGTCTGCCACGCAGCCAGGCCGTATCACACCCGGGCACCCCGGCACGGCCTAGATCAGAAACTTTGCGGCATTTCTTGCCATCCTCGGTAATCTCAAGCCAGCGGTTTCTGCCGATCTTCTCCTCCTCTATAAACCCCCACTGGACCTTTAGCGGCTGTATTATGTTCATGTCCAGGCTTGTGAACAGCGCCTGGGAACGACTCGTCTTTTTTGGATCCACCTTGATTATTCCCTCCTCGTCGCACAAGTCGGCCATCTCCTTCTTGCTGATCCTCCCCTTGTCACGCACTATCCTTAGCGCCCTGATCAGCCTCTCTGCCGGCTTTTGAATCTCGTATGGGGGAATGTCCATGATCTCCCTGATCCCGCTTGAGCTCTGCTCGTTCTGGGGGCTCGCGTACTCTTCTGCCTCCACATAGAACGGTATCACGTTGTTCTCCTCGTTGAACATCATGCATGCCATCATGCCTCCGACGGCCTGAATCTTGGATCCCGAGGCCAGGTTGACATAGATGTTGTTGCCACACTCGCCTCTTATTATCTCCTTGACCGCCTTTATGATGCTGAAGAGATCCAGGCGGTCGTGGTCTGCCGTCCTGACCTCGATGCTCTGCTCCTCCAGCCTCTCCTTTACCGTCTCGATGAACCCGAGCGCCTTGTCCTGTCCCGGATTCTCGTGTACCATTAGGTAGACCCGGTCGGCCCGCCTCTCCCTTGCGGGAAGCACGATCCTGTCAATCTCGTAGCCGACGGGAGCGATGTGGATTCGCAGGTTTGGTTTGTTCATTTAGTCTGTATAGTATGCATACTAATGTAACGGTATATAATAATTGCTTTCGACCCATTATACTCATGACACAAAGACAAGTTGTGCTTGATACCTGCATGGTGATCGACATCATGGAGGCTGACATCTTTGCCCAGAAGATGCGCAGACGGCTCCGTGGCAAGTCGATCAGGTTCGTGCTGACCGACGTGGTGTGCCGCGAGGCAAAGAAGGCTCGCGGGTTTGACGTGCACAGCATATCCGCAAGGATTCAGAGACTCCTTGGGCGGGAGGTGGACGTGATCTCAATAGAGGAACGGCACATCGCCGAGGCAGAGCGCTTGAGCTCCAGGTACCACATGTGCCACCACGGCGACAACCGTATCCTGGCATTCTGCCGTGAGAGGAGCCTCCCCCTTGTGACGCGGGACGAAGATCTTCACCGCGTGTCCCAGTGGGTCGGGGTCGCATCGTTCCGCCCGTCAGAGGTAGGGGGTATCTGAGATGTCCAAGGGATTCTTCCCGCGCATAATACGAGAGTTTGACGACGACGAAGACCCCCTGATCTACCGCAGCCGCTGATGCGGCATATTTTTTTTTTACACGATGTGGCGCCGAATCCGGCGCCGCCTGCCATCGGGCCCAGGCCGCGCTGTTTCTGGTGCCGCAAAAGAGCCGCTGCGGGCCCTGCCGCAGGGTGTGCCGTTTGGGGAACCGCGGCTACCTGGCGCGGTGCCCGACTATTAGCGCCTCAAGCCTCCCGCTGAGTATCGCGCCCAGGATTCCCATTATGACGGCGGGGCCTATCACCGCCGGCAGCACCACGGGAAGCTGCTCAAAGAAGACCTGGAACGTGACGCTGCCCGATATTGCACGGGTAAAGATCACCTCGTTGTAGACGTACGTCACAAACGGGAAATATGCAAAGTAAAAGGCGGATCCTATGATGGCCCCGGCGGCTGCAATGCCAGCCCTGTTCCTGTACGTTGCCATCATGATGTCGGCTGCCACAAACGGTATCATGGTCAGAAAGTAGAACGGAATCGTCTCGACGAGGGCGGGGTTTGAGGCTATGACGCTTGCCGCGTTTATCGCCAGCAGCATAAAGCCCAGGCCGGACACCGCCCCAAACCGGTATCGGACCAGCCGGGACGCCAGAGTGAGGACTATGGCGTACAGGAACGGCATCGACACGGTGGCAAATACCACCGCAAACCAGATGTCGGGATTGTAGGTGAAAAAGTCGGTGTTTGAGAACGGCAGGGTGTACGAGTACAGGAATCCCGTTGCGCTCATCCACACCGGAAGAAGCGAGAATATGGCCATGCCCGTGAGGGCGCCGCGGGATCGTACGTGGTCCATTCCGTAGCGAAGAATCACGACTGCCGGGGCGACGGCGCACAGCAGCATGCCCGCAAGCAGAACCTGGTGAGGGGGCGAGAGCAGCCCGTCCAGGCCAAAGTTCGAGTGCCACGCAAAGTCTGCGGGGCCGGCCCCGACCAGGATGAAGATTCCCACGATGCCCAGCCTGAAGGGAAAGCGCCAGGCCGCCCGTGCGGACGGATCGAGCCCCCTCCAGAACACAAATGCCATGACTGATCCGGCCAGGGCGATCGCGACGCCAGAGTAGAGCATGGCGTGGGGAGGGGAGAAGAACGACTCCGGCCTGTTTAGGACGTGGTTCATGACGTCCCAGAATCCGGCCGTGATGGTTATCATGGAGCCAAGGCTGACTGTCATGCTGGCAAGCAGGAACCTCTTGCGCGCAGACATCAGGGCCGGCGCCTGCGAAACCTCCATGGTGTATCCCTGTGTCTGGATTCATTTAATGTATTCTGTCTGCTGCCCGGGCCGCGCCAGGGCAGAGTGCCCCGGGGCGGAAGCAGCAAACCCCCGGTGTGATCAACGGGAATTATATACAAAAGTACACCGGCCTTCTACACTTTTTCGGCTTCACGTCGGGCGCGCTTCCATTGCGCGGCGCCCGCGCGGCAACCATGACGGCCGGAACCGCACGGGCCGCACAACGGCATCGGTCGCCATTGCAGGGCTGACGGCCGGCGCGGCGGCGCCGCGTCACCTTTTATGCAACACGTGGTATGTTCCTGTAGAGATGAAAGCCAGAATGGCGGCAACAGCGCCTGCAGCTGCAACCCCAACAGCGGCATCTACGGCGCCGCAGAAGCCAAAAAAGTGGCCAAGGCGCTCAATGGAGGGCTCCATGGTGCGCACCATAAAGGTGGACTTTGACCAGTCCGGAGAGCTGTCGGATCTCATATCCCGTCACATGGACCAGCAGAGGTGGGCATTCAACATGGCAGTCAAGGAGAAGCTCAACGACCCGAGGACAACCAAGTTCGACCTCAACAGCATGCTCACCAAATGGAGGGACGGGAGGGCGTGGCTCGTACACGACGAGGACGCGCCGGCAGCAGGACTCAGGGAGGCCTGCGACAGCAGGGTGCAGAGGGCGGGGCTCCAGCAGGGCCTGGACGCGGTAAAGAAGTTCATGAAGTCAAACGGCAAAAAGCGCCGCAACAAGTCATTATGGAAGTACCTGGCCAGGAAATACAGGGAAAAGGAGGGCGTCAAGGACATCGACACCGCGCCCAACCTGCCGTCCAACAAGTGGAGCAACAAGAGGAACAAGTGGCGCTTCAGGGACACCCTGTTCAGCAAAAAGGGGGAAACGAAGGCCCTAACTGTGTTCAAGCGTCCCGTGTACAAGGGCAACGGCCTGCTGCACCTTCCCGCCATAGGCACCGTGAGGGTGCACGGCAACGTGGAGGGATTGGACATGCGATCCTTCCAGCTCGTCGAGACCACGAAGAAGACGACCAAGCGCACCGAGAGCCACAACAGGACATACAGGCTCCACATCCAGGTCAAAACCAGGGCTCCAGAGTCATCGGAATCCGGCACCGTACGCGGGGTCGATATGGGCATAGTCCATGGCGCCGCCACAGTCGACCTGGACACGGGCAGCCACGCGTTTTATGACCTCCCCAAGGGCTGCAGGCGCTCCAAGAACGACGACATATCGAAAATGTACTCGGAGCTCTCACGGAAGCGCGGGGGACGCGGCAACCGCAGGATCAGGCAGGACGCCAAGGAGGGCGCGGACGGCGTAAGCGAGGGCGCGGACGGTGGTACCGGCACCAACGGCGACACCAAGAACAACACCAGCGGCCACAACAGGAACAAGCCGAGGAAGCCAAAGTCAAGGGGCTACAAGGAACTCCACAGGAGGATCCGGAAAAAGAGGGAAAAGATAGCCAACCGCCAGACGAACTGGGAAAGGCACGCCTCCAAGAAGATAGCGGACGGCGCGGGAACGGTGGTTATGGAGGATCTGGACCTCAACAACATGACAGCCAAGGTAAAGGGCAAGGGAAGCTCGGCAAAGACGGGGCTCAACCGCGAGATGGCCTACTCGAGGCCGGGCACGTTCCAGCGCCAGATAAAGGGCGCCTGCAAGAACGCGGGCGTCACCGTGATAATGGTGGACCCCAAGGGGACGAGCATAACATGCAGCGCCTGCGGGCGCAAGGACAAGGAATCCAGGGTGTCGCGGGGGGAGTTCCGCTGCACCAATGACAAGTGTTACAATGACATCGACGCGGACGTGAATGCCGCGCATAACATTGCCTCCAGGGCGGAAGCCGTGGCGGCAGGGCGGCAGGGATTGTCGTCTGAAGGCGCGAGAAGTCAGCGCGGGATTGCTCCCGCGCGTTCCGCAAACAGCACGCGAGAGCCAAGCGTGGGAGGCAGTGCAAGAGCGCCAGCAAAAGGCAAAGGTACTGTGTACTTTTGTATATAATTCCCTGATCAACTATTAAACCACCCTGCACAAACAGTGAGCGATGAAGGTACTGGTGGTGATCGCGGCGGTGGCGGCATACTTTGCAGTTATGGTGGCGGTGGTGCCGCCGCTATACCTGGAGAGCTATACCTCGTATCCTGCACCGGTCCATTCCGTCACCGTGTCCGATGACGTGATCTCCCTGGGCGAGTCGTTTCGCCTGCGGGTGGACGTGGTAAACGACCGCGACTTTGCGGATTTCGTGGTGACATCGGTCGGCTTTCCCGGCTTGGAGGATGCCGGTGCGCATGTGGATCTTGTGGGGTATGACTTTGACCTGCCCCCAAGATATGCGGCAGCGGGCGACCCGCCACGCTCGGTCTATGGCGCCGGATCTGACGGTAGCGCCTACGCGTCCATCGAGTCGACCAGCAGCGATGTCGGGGCCGGGGAGCGGTACCACATTGAGCTCTCCGTTACCCCGCCGGCCCCGGGCGACTTTGCGGTGCACGTAAAGACTGCCGCGGTTCCGCACTCCCACGGGATGGCCCACTTTCCGCATTCTGGCCCCAGCGATGCTCAGGGCGAGACGGTAGAGATCCACGTGGTCAGCGTCGTTCCATAGGCCTGTGGCCGACTGCCCGGTGTTCAGGAAGGGATCTAGATCCGACAGGGTGTCCGGCGGCGTGACAGGAGAGCGTCGTGGCTGCAAGACGGCCGATCACGCTAGGGCGGCAGCCGGGTGCGGCGCCTGCGCATCCGGTGATGCAGTGAGATGGCCTGGAGGCAGGATTGCAGGCAGTGCCGGGGAGCTGCGGCGTGCGGCTACGGGTCTGCGAGCGTGTACACCGAGTCCCCCTTGCTGTCTATTGTCCACCTGACCGCCCCGAGCTCGGCGAGCCTGCCCATGGTGGCTACCCTCCACTGTGTGATCTTTCTCTCTGCCTCGATTGGGTGATCCAGCGTGCTGATGTTATGCGTCCTTACCAGCTGGGGGTTTTTTGCCGCGTACTCCCCTGCAATCCTGCGGATCTCAGAGTTCAGGACATGGGTCATCTTCGTGCCGCCCTCATCCGTGTTGTCGCCAAAATTCCTGACTGCCGATATGGCCGCATCCACAAACCGCTTCTCCAGATCCCGCTGCGGTATGAGCTCGTTTAGGACAAACTCCGACTCCTCGCCTGTCAGCGACCCCTGGGCGTACCTTCCCTGGATTATCGGGTTCTCCATCAGAAGGAACCTTCTGCCCAGCTCCGTCAGCGAGACAAGCGTCCTGCCGTCTGCGTGTGTCGCGTATGCAAGTCCCAGTGCGGAGAGCGCCCCCTCAAAGTACTCCGTCTTTGTAACCCTGCTCCTTCTTACCTTCCCAACGTACTGATCCTTGAACCTCTTCTGGGCCATTGTTATCTTCTCCCTGTCTTCCTCGTCGTTTCCCTTCTTGGGAAGCCCTGTCGACATCTTCCTGTTCCTTGGGATGCTGTTCCCCTTCTCGTAGTCGCTCAGTATTATGGAGATCTCCTCGGCAATGTCGTACGCGTGGGCGCGCAGCTCGGAGATCTCCACGCTTGCCGTCTTGTCCCTCTCCAGAAGATTTCCCAGAACCGCAAGGACGATCTTTACCGGAAGAATCCGGCTGTAAAAGCCGAGCAGCAGCGGGTACCGGTCGTACGGGATTGCGCTCTCCGGCTCTGTAATCCTCAGCGATCTCGCATGCTCCATTACCTGCAGCATGTTGTGCTGCAGGTTCAGGTAGTCATCGTCGCTCAGGGCCAGAACCTCCTGCCTCTGCGCCTCGTTCATCTCCCGGTCGATCTGCAGCTCCCCGAACTGCTCCTGCAGTATGTGGCGGAACATGGATCTCTTCAGGAATGCCTCCTGCCCTGCCGAAAACGGCATCAGGCTTCGCAGCAGATCAAAGCACTCCTCTGGATGGGGGCTCTCCCAGGTCAGCAGGAGCTCGATCGCCGACCTGATAAAGTCATCAGGATTTCTGTACCTGCCGTCCTCCACGAGCTCGCGGATCTTCGTCTCATAGATGCCTAAAACGTTGTACTGTATCTTCTCTCCCACTACCTATTATATTGAATACTCGTATAAATACTGTATTTACAATTGATATTTTGACCAAATAAGGTCGTGTTAAAACGTATGTAAGATTGGAACGCGTGTAATTGACATCTTTATATGTAATAACCATATTTTATATGTATTTAAAAATAGATCTAGTTGTTATAAAATATGGAGATAACCTTATATGATAATAAAACCACATGATGGTATGTTCGAAAGTATGAAAACTGCCGGCAAAACCGGCTATGTTCTGGATACATGCGTCCTCAGGCGCATCTGTGACAACGAAAACTTTGCGGTCTCCCTGTCGTGCCGCATCGGCTTTGAGGACTCGTACGTTGTTGTAACCTCAAAGGCGCTCGAAGAAGCATCCCGGCACGGCTATGACTACGCCACCATCGAGGATCTTGTCTTCCGTCGGTTGAAGGCGCCGGTCCGATATGAGCAGATTACCCACCTGCAGCACACCGAGGCAAAACGGCTGGAGAAGCGCTACGCGACCCTGCATACGGGAGACAGCGATATCCTTGTCTTTGCCAGGGACAAAAAGACAACCCTGGTCACATGCGACAAGGGACTGGCCAAGGCCGCCGGTCAGGCCCACTGCGCCTGCATAAACCCAGACAACCTGCCGTGCGATACGCAGCGCAGGCCACCCACCGGGTACGAGCTGACTGCCAAAGGCGCGATGGGCTTGCCACCCAAGAAGAATAAGATACTCAACTCGCCCATTACGAGCGAATAAAGCCCGCGGGCCGGCGCGGCCCGCTTTTTTGTTTCATCCAGGGGTGATCATTGGTGGGGAACCACTCTTGACTCGCCGCTCTCCTTTGACACGTCAAAGACGCTGTCTGCAAAGGTCTCAAGCTCACGGTCGTGCGATACCAGGATTGTCTGCTCTGATCTCATCTCGTCCAGAACCTCCTTCATCTTGTGGAGCTGACCGTCTGAGAACCCATCCGTGGGTTCATCAAGAATCAGGAGGTTGGACTTCATGCTTTCGGTCTCACTTCTCATCAGCGCGTTCAGCGTAAGCCGGTAGGCCAGGGCTATCCCGGTCTTCTCGCCGCCGGAGAGAAAGCCGATCTCCTGTTCAAACCCGTCCTGCTCCACAATGGGGGCAAAGTTCTCGTCTATCCTCGTCTCCTTTGACGGATCCTCGATCATGATGGAGTACCATCTGCGATACGTGTCGTTGAACTGCTGCTGGATGGAGAGCATGACCTGCCTCTCTATCTGCCTGGTGGCGGGAATAAAATAGTCCTCTATCCACCTCTGGTGGCCGCTGATCCGTTCATGCACACTCCTCCATCTTTTGGCCTCGTCAATCTGCGCATCGTGCTCGCGCTTCTTCTCCTCATCTGCACTCTTCCTCTCTTCTAGCGCGCGAATGTCTCCGTTGCTTCTGCTGATGCTTCTTGCAAGGATCTCGATTTCGCGGTCAAGCTCTGCCATCTTGCCTGCAATCCCCTCAAATGACTTCAGCTGCTCGTCGGTGGCTTCCATGTCGGATTCGCATTCCTGTATTCTCTTGTGTGCGGACTCTCTCTCCTGTTCTGCCGTCTCTCTATCCCCGCGTGTCCTCTCCAAATTGTCCCTCAGGTACTTTAGGCTGTTCTGGGCGCTCTGGTAGTCCTGGAGCCCTCTCCTGAGCAACGACAGCTCGCCGTCGGTTATGCTCGCCGGCAGGTCCGGAAACTCTTCTGATATGGCCGCATACTGGCTCTGTATCTTGTCTTGCTGCAGCCTCAACTCCTGCAGCTCGGCCCTCTTCTTGGGCAGCTCCTCCAGATCCGGTATGGTGCGTTCCATGGCATTGATGCTTCCCCTGTCTTGGCTTGTCTCGCCTTCCAGCCTGGCCTTCTCGGACCTGTTCCCCCCTAGTTCCTGAGTGATCCCTGCGATGCTGTTTTGTGCCTCACGGATCCTGCTCCGTATCCCTGACTCGAGCCGGTTCTTGTGCTCTGCTGTGATCTCGCTTTTGCATGTGTGGCATCTGGCTCCCAGCCCTGCAATGCTGTCAAGCTCGTCCTGGCCTGCCATTACCTGGCCTTTGAACATCCCTTCTGCCTCCTTCAGCTCGCTAATCCTGCTGTCTATTGTTCCTAGCCTCCTGGCTGATTCCTCAATCTGTGATGTCGCCTCGGAGATCGCCTTCCTTAGCTCGTCTGCGTCCCGGTCTCTTTGCGTCCCCAGCCTTCTCTCCAGGTCTGCTATTCTGGCGGATGTCGTTCCTATGAGCGATGCCGTGCCTCGCTCCTCTGCCCTCAGTTCAGAGCGCCGGCCAATTGCGTAGTTCAGCTGGTCCATGGTCATGCTGGTGGGCGGCCTCTTGCTCTCCAGTCTGGCGATCTCGGTCTGGATTTTGGCGATGCTCTCATCTGACTTTTGTATTTTGGCCTGGAGTGTCCTTGCGTTCCCACTGTGGAGCCTGATCTCGCCTTCAATCTCTCTTCTCTTCAGTTTTAAATTTGCTGCCTCGTTTTCCCGTTCCTTTAGACCCTGCTGCTCAAGCACCAGACTTCTCTTCTGGCCCTCTGCCTCCTCTATCTTTTCCTTCTTGCTGCTTATGCTGGCATCTGTCCGGCGGATATCATCCGTGATGCCGGCGAGCCTCTCCTTCAGCTCCTCCAGGTTCCTGAACCTCTCCTTGAGTACGCGGGTACGCGCTTTTAGCAGGGCGGCAACGCGCCCTGCATTCTCTGTTGCGTCCCGATAATCCTCTATGCGAAAGGCCTTGCGGATCGTCTCCAGTCTGTCCCTTGGGTCGCTCAGGATGTGCTTTATCTCCTCCTGCGGCGTGAATACGGCATACCTGAAGATCCTGCTCTCCGCGCGCGGGTTTGGCGGTTCGTTGAATCCGAGAATCTTTAGTATCCTCTGCTTGAGATCGGTGGGCGACAGCGCCTCCTCTACACCATCCTCCCAGAGGTGCGATCTTTTGGAGTCCTGTGATACCGCGCCATTGCGGCGTATCAGGCCGCGCGTGACTTGGTAGAGGCGCCCTTCCACCTCAAAGTCCAGCGTGACGCTGCCGTGGTCCTTCCTCTTTGACAGGAGGCCGCTGCCCTTCTGCGATCCCAGGCCGAACAGGGCAAACTCTATTCCCATGAGAATTGTGGATTTTCCGGAGCCGATGTCGCCCCCAAAGAGCGTGGTGCCTCTGGGAAGCGTGATCTCCTGCTCGGCATAGCTCCTGATGTTCTCCAGTTTTATGTAGTTAAGAATCATTGATGTCTATCTCCATCGCGCCTAGTGCCCTGCTGTCGACTCGCTCCTCATACTCCCGCTTCTTCTCGTTGTCCTGTTTGGGCTGCGCCAGCTCCTCAAGCAGTCTTTTTGCCAGCGACACCCCGGACTCGCCTGCAAGCTCCTCTTGGCGGGTTATTACCTCTCCGATGTTCTCTGCGAATATGTTGTGCGTGATCTCTTCCCGGTTCTTTCCCTTTACCCCGGTTATGTTGTACTCTTTGGATGTCAGCTGGTTTTTGTGGATGTTCACGGCCAACGCACCTGCCTCCATCAGCCCGCCCTTTACAGCCGCGGTGTCAATATCTGCGGTCTTTCCCGTGCTGAGCTCGCCTGCAAGCTTTATTATGATGATCTTGCCCTGCGGGTTGATGTTTTTTGCACAGTCGCGCAGTTCGGCATCAACGCGGATCGAGTTTCTGTTATTGCAGCTCGTGTCTATGATCTCGTACTTTGCGTTTTCAATCACCACAAACTTCACGTCTGTTACCCTGTCATCAAAGTCAACTAGGACAAATCCGCGCTTTTCTCCCCGGGCGTTGTACTCCAGGTCACTGTGATATCCGCAGAACGGCGTCCCGGGATAGATTACGTGGGGATAGTCAGGATACTCCCTGGGTGTGTATTTGTGCAGGTGGCCTCCGGCGTAATACTCAAACCCCGGCGGAAGCAGGGAGAGAGCCATGCTGTCGCCGTGGGTATCGGAGACGAGCTCGCTTATGGCCCCGTGAAACAGGAATATCTTAAAGCCCTCTTCGGCTTTGAGGGCCTCCCTGTCGAGGTTCTCATAAAGGTCCTTCTCCCTTCCGGCCTTGAGGCCTGGAAGCCCCGTAATCTTTGCGCCGGTTTTGGGATCGGTTATGAACCCGAGTCTTGTCTTGCCGCTGGCGCCCTCCGGAATTGTGACCTTGGTAATCAGGCCTGCCGCCTGGAGCAGATCGATTATGGACTTTGAGACGGGGGAGAAGTCGTGGCTGCCGTACACCGCGTAGACCGGAATTCCGGACTCCTTTAGCCGGCGGAACTGCTCAAAGGCAAACGTGTTTGTCCCCATGTCTGGGATGTTCACGTGGAACAGGTCGCCGCATACCAGCACAAAGTCCACCCTTCTGGATATGCACTGGGAGACTATGCCCTCAAACGCGTCCTGCTCGATCTTTTTGAGGCTGTCAAACTTTTGGAACCCCAGGTGCACGTCTGCAAGGTGGGCGAACCGTCCCAACTACGGCACCCTCATCGTCTTTTGGCGCCTTGGGGCGCGCCCCTTTATCAAATCTTCAAACAGCGGAATCTTGACGGGCATGGCAAAGGGGACAAAGATGCTTGTGACTATTGCCTCGCCCTTGTCCAGGCTTGCGATGTTCCTGTCGTCATCGGAGAGATCCTGCGAGGACGACGCGATGATGGCGGCCCGCTCCTGCCTCATCTCGTTTCCGAGAACTATCTTTGTGTTCATGTTTGCCAGTATCGTCTTGGGTATAACGCTGCTGAGCTGGGTTATTGCGGTGAGGCCGATCTTGAACTTGCGGCCCTCCTTTGCAATGGTGGCATAAATGTTGCCGTTTGATGCCAGCACATCCTCCCCGATGACCCTGGGCGCCTCCTCGATGACGATGGTTGCCACGGGCTTGTCTGCAAGCTGCCCCCGCGCCTTGTGAAGCTTGTACCTGCGCAGGAGCCTGGCGGCGATGATGTTTCCGACTATCAGCTCTGCCTCGTCGCCCAGCCGCGAGGTGTCCAGAACCACCACCCTTCCCTGCTCGATGTGCTGCACCACCTGGTCCACCGTTTTGAATCCCTTGGTTCCAGAGTCAAACACGTTGTGAGCCGAGATCAGGTTGCCCTCATCGTCCACATCCAGGCCAAGGACAAGCTGCACCTTCCTCTTGAGCACGGCCCTGGTGCTTGCGGCAGTCTCGTCCTCTGCCGCGCTGGGGTCGGTAAGCATCAGGGCAGATATCCACCCTTTTCTGTACTTCATGTATAGCATCCGCATGGCCCTCTCCTGCGCCTCGCTGAGCTCCACGATTCCCTCAAAGTGCTCCGGCCTTATCGACTGCAGGTTTATGGCCAGCATGTTTGCGCCCGGTGGGGGATCCTCTGCGGTATAGTACTCCAAGTTGTCCCTTGCATCGGGATGATCCTTGAGCCCGGGGCCATGCCTTCCATAGTACTCGTCGTGCGCGTCAAGCACCAAGGCGCCGACCCTGTTTGAGTCCATGGTGTGATACAGTATGGTCTTTACAAGGTTTGACTTTCCCCGGCCGGTGGCGGCGGGAATCAGAATGTGGTGCGCGAACACGTCCTCTGCGGGAAGCCAGACGCCTGCATCCTCGATTACTTTGGTGCCGCTTCTGATGTGGCCCACAAATATGTCTCCCTCTTTCTTCTGCAGAAAGCCCAGATCGTCCTTGGAGATCGGCCGCAGCTTGTTGAAGAACGTCGGAAGGCTCTTTGGAATGCTGACCTGATCTGAGCTTGAGATTCTGGCCATCTGCTTCATCCTGGCAAGCACGTAGTTGACAAACTCAGGCTCGTAAAACTTGGCCTCGACTCCCTGCTCCAGATTGATACTGGATCGCATCTGCTGTATCCTGTCCTGAATCTGCGAGGCGTATTCCAAGGCAAACACTTGGAGGATTACAAAGCCGTTTCCCTCGTCAGACACCAGCAGAGAGCCGATCTCCAGGGTGGTTCCGGCCTTTTGGCGTATGATCACGTCGCCAAACTTTCCGCCGACCACCTGGCCTATCACGCCGTCATCTGCGCCCATCAGCTGGTCACCTCGTTTAGCCTTTCGTGTGCGGCCAGTGCGTTGCGGTACCTGTAGATCCTCTCCCAGTCCAGCTCCGGAACGTTTACGGTCTCAGAGCGCAGCATGCTCTTGTACATTTCCAGTTCGTTGTTGCGCACCTGCGCAAACCTGTCCGCGTCAATTGCCGCGTACGGGTATCCCAGCATCGAGATGTCCTCTGCGTTTGCGGCTATGCTTGAGAGTATGTCGTTGATCTTGCCTGCGTCCATATCCTGGAACTGGTCGCGGAGCATCTCAATCCTGAAAACAAACTCCGACCTTGGATGAAACTTTGCCACCAGCACCATGACCCTGCCGTCGGGCGAGGCCCTGTCGGCCACCTTTACGTACCACATGCCATGTCCGGCCTCCTTGGATATCTCCTCCACCCTGGCCAGCAGGGACTCGCCGGACTCCGTAAGCATCATGCTGGTCTTTGACAGGCCGCACACTGTCACTCCTTTCTCCACGGCCTCATCGTACAGCACGTCTGCGTACCTCTTCTCCCTCTTAAAGCCAGTCTGCAGGGAGCCGTCCATTATCAGTATGTCCCCGCCGGTCAGCTCGGCCCTTGCCACATGCGCGGCCATTCTCCACTCCGCAAACTTCCTGGCCATCGAGTCTACCTGAGTCAGCTCGTGGAATCCCGGGTAGCTCCTGTCCTGGTGCAGGTCCGCCGCATCGGGCAGATACTCCGCATCCTCAGGCTTTTGTGGATACAGTCTGATGCTGTACTTGATCCTGTCCTTTGCCTCGCCCTTGGGTATGCTGACTACCGTCGTGGAGAAGAACTCTATTCGGGATCTTGTCCTTGGCCTCTCTCTCCTCTTCCCCTTGAACAGCGAAAAGTAGGTGCGGTTGATCATGACAGAAAAGCTGGCCGTCTCCTCAAGCCGGCCGTTGCCCCCGTCCACTACGGCAATCCTTTTGGGAGCATCCGTTGGCACTATCGCAACGAATCCCTCTGGCCCTATCCTGTACCCGTGCTCTCCGGAACCAAGAAGGATGTCGTCGTGCCCCACGCCGCTTATCTGCCCTCCCAGCTCCCTGGCCAGGGACTCCATGGGGCTGCTAGGCAAGGTTATGTCCCCCTCCGGTCGCGCGCAGGCATCATGCGAGGCTGCCCCCTGTGCACTTTTAACTCAATTGGTCTTGGAGTCGACCTCCGTAACGGCTGCATACTTGGATGCGGGCTGACGAATTATTAAGGACAGTGTCATTAGTATGCTTACTGTGCAGACTATCCTGAGTGTGTGGCTACATTCCCCTGCCCGGGCATGAAGGCGCACGCCCGGGAAGGGCTCCTGCGCCTGACAGGGCGCGGATCCAGTTAATTAGGAACCGGGTGGCAGCTTGCGCATTGAAACGGATAGGCCTTCTTGGGTGCGGCGCCATAGGCACCCGGATTGCGCTGGCAATGGACTCGGGGGAGATACCTGCTGCACTGACCCACGTGTATGACGCGTCAGCCGAGCGGGCACACCGCCTGATCTCAAGACTGCAAAAAAAGCCGCAGCTTGTTGCAAACCACCACCTGCTGTCCTCCCAGAGCATAGACCTGGTGGTGGAGGCGGCATCCCAGGATGCGGTGAGGGATGCGGCGCTAAGCGTGCTGCAGAACAGAAAAGATCTCATGATCATGAGCGCCGGGGCCCTGCTTGACGAGTCGGTCTTTGCGGTTCTGGAGGACGCGTGCAGGGAGTTTGGAAGGACCATCTACCTCCCCTCCGGTGCCATTGCGGGACTTGACGGGCTTGCGTCTGTTCGGTCCGAGCTGGAGGAGGTCACGCTTACCACCACAAAGCACCCCGACTCTCTCCGGGGAGCCAAGTTCTTCGCGGCCCACGACATGTCCGCCGATGAGATCACCAAGCCCACAACCATATTCCGCGGCCCGGCCCGGAACGCAGTCTCCATGTTCCCTGCCAACATCAACGTGGCCGCCCTTCTAAGTCTGGCGGGCCTCGGGGCGCAGAGGACGGAGGTGAGTATCGTGGCGGATCCCTCTGCCACAAAAAACTCCCACAGGATCGAGGCGCGGGGGCGGTTTGGCAGGATGACGTTCCTCACAGAGAACGTCCCCGACCAGGACAACCCCAAGACCAGCCGTCTGGCCGCCCTGTCTGCAGTCGAGATGCTGCGCAGGATATGCTCCGAAGGAATCAGGGTGGGAACGTAGCCGTCCAAAGGGGCAATTATTGCCGCCGTTGTACCGTTTGGCGGAGATAACCGGCAGTATCCTATTCTTTAAATTCCCGGGACATCTTAACCCTAGAGTTCATGCTGGTACAGCAAACATCCGCACTGCGCGACGAGATCATCAGGCTAAAGGGGGAGCGGGACGCGGTGATCCTTGCCCACAACTATCAGATTCCTGACGTGCAGGACGTGGCAGACTTTGTCGGCGACTCCCTGGGGCTTGCAAGGCAGGCTGCCAGAACCGGCAGCAAGGTCATAGTGTTCTGCGGGGTACACTTTATGGCAGAGACCGCCTCGATCATATCCCCGGACAAGAGGATCCTGATTCCAAGCCTGGAGGCAGGCTGCTCGCTGTCTGACACGATAACCGCAGAGGACCTGCGGCAGTGGAAGGGGCGGCACCCTGATGCCATAGCGGTGGGATATGTCAACACTACGGCAGAAGTCAAGGCGGAGCTTGATTACTGCTGCACGTCATCCAACGCGGTGAGTGTCGTGCAGGCCATACCCGCAGACAGGGAGATCCTCTTTTTGCCGGACATGTTTCTGGGATCGTACGTCTCCAAGATGACCGGGCGAAAGAACATGTACATCTGGGCAGGCGAGTGCCACGTGCATGCGGGAATAACGCCTGATGACGTGAAGAGGAAGCTTGACTCTATGCGCGAGGCGGAGTTTATGATCCACCCGGAGTGCGGCTGCACCACTCCGATAATGTACGACGTGGCGTCGGGAAGGTTTGCCGGGGAGAACCTGCATGTGCTCTCCACCGAGGGCATGATGCGCCATGCCAAGGAGTCAAAATCAAGGAACTTTGTGGTCGCCACGGAGACCGGCATACTCCACAGGATGAGAAAGCAGAACCCCGGCAAGAACTTTGCCGCGGCATCGGACCAGGCGGAGTGCCGGTACATGAAGATGATCACGCTGGAGGGGGTACGCGACTCGCTGGCCCGTGACCGGTTCGAGGTCAAGGTTCCCCCGGAGACGGCAGACAGGGCGCGCCTGGCCATAGAGCGGATGCTTGCGATAAGCTAAAAATACGACTCGTTCGCGCGTCTCATGGAGTGGTGCTGGGGTTGTTCGGCCGCGGTCCAAAGGACCCAAGGGCCGGTATCATATGGAACAAGAAGAAGGAGCTGCGACGGCTGGTAAAGCGCAAGGAGTACGATCTGGCGCTCAGGTCGGGGCTGGATCTGCTCCGAGAGGTCCCACACGAAAACGACATCCTCTTCATAGTCGGGAGCATCTACCATATCCGCGGCAAGCACCAAAAGGCGATCCACTACCTTGCAAGGTCGCTGGATGTGGCCACATACGACACCGAGGCCTTGATCCTCAAGGCCCGCTCGCACTTGGAGCTGGGTCAGCCAGAGGAGGCTAAGGAGTGCTGCCGCATGGTGCAGGAGGTGGACCCAAAGAACAGGGAGGCTGCGCGGATTCTGTCTGGGACCTAGACTTCCAGGCTAAAGTCTATGCCCCTGACCGAGCTCGTGATGGCCCCAGACGATATCATGTCCACACCGGTTCTGGCATAGAGGGCGACATTCTCCTCGTTGATTCTGCCTGACGCTTCCACCTTGACCCGGCCCCGGAGCCCGCCGTCCTCTAGGGCCCTCAGGGCCGCGGCCACCTGCTCCGGGGTAAAGTTGTCCAGCATTATGATGTTCGCGCCGCACTCTGCCGCCGTGATGGCGTCAGCGGTGCTCTCAACCTCCACCTCGATTCTGTGGTGTCTCTTCTTTGCCAGGGGGATGACCTCCTCTAGTACCGCTCCTGCCGCAAGATGGTTGTCCTTTATCATTACCATCTCGTCTAGCGCCATCCTGTGTCGCCGGCCGCCCCCAATCTCCACTGCAGTCTTGTCAAAGTACCGGAGCCCCGGGGCGGTCTTTCTTGTGGCAAAGATCTCCGCCCCGCTGCCCCTGATCCTCTCTGTCAGGGCGCGGGTCTGTGTCGCTATGCCGCTCATTCTGGAGAGCAGGTTGAGGGCGGTTCTCTCAGACGAGAGGATCGCGCGTGCGGTGCCTGCAACCTCCAGCACCACGTCATCTGACTCAATGGCATCCCCGTCGCCCCATGTGGCCGACGCCGACGCTCCGCCGATCTCGAATATCTGGGCCGCAAACCCGATGCCTGCCAGGACGCCCGCCTCCTTTGCGACGATCCTCGCAGACATCGTTCCAGGGGAGAGGAGATCGCTTGTGATGTCACCGCTCCCGATGTCTTCTGCCAGGAACCTCTCAAGATCACCCCTTGGGTTGTAGCTCATTTACCGCACTCTCCTCTACCGGGTTTAATTCTCTTTTGTAGCGACCGGCATCTGGGCGGTCTCCGCCCCATGATTCTGCGGCGGGGATGCGTCGCTGCGCCGGCGCCGATCCTGCACCTGCGGCACGCGCGCAGCAGCCCTGCTTTGCGTGACGCGGCCTTGGCGCCGGGCTATCCATTTTTAAGTAAACGCGGGTATCGTGAGATGGTTGAAGTTAAACAGAGTGGCGATCATCAGCAAGTTTGGCTCCAAGGTGTCCGAAGATGCGGCCAAGATGGTCGCAACAAAGTTCCTGAAGAGAAGGGCCAAGGTCTTTACGATCTCGCCTGTGTCGGCGGACGGGGCAGAGAGGGCAGACAGCATAGCGGACCTGCGGACGGAGAACCTGGATCTGGCAGTTACCATGGGGGGAGACGGTACCACCCTGCGGACCTTTCGAGGCCTGGATGACGTCACCCCGCTCCTTACGATAAACGTGGGCGGCAACAGGGGGATCCTTGCGGAGATCACGATGGACGAGCTGGACTCGGCCATAAGGCAGATCGCATCGGACAGGATAATACTGGAGAGGCGCACCAGGGTCGTGGCCTCCATCGGGGGAGAAGAGTTTGCGCCGGCGCTAAACGAGATCCTCATCCAGCGGAAGAACCTTACCAAGACGGCAGAGATCGAGATAAAGTTTCAGAACGACTACGTCAAGCAGAAGATGGACGGGGTGATAATCGCTACCCCCAGCGGATCCACGGGCCACTCGTTCTCCCTGGGCGGCCCTATCCTGCACGAGAGCCTAGATGTGCTGATAATCACGCCCGTGGCCCCGGTGTACCGGCTTGAGTCCATCGTCGTGCCCGACGAGAAGATCGAGATTGTCTGCTCGCACGACTGCAGCGTTGTCATGGACGCGCAGGTGATCAAGTCCGCCGGGTTTGGGGAGACGATCACCATTAAAAAATACAACACGCCAGCCACGTTTGTGAGGCTCAAGAAGCGCGGCCTGCGGCAGATGAGCAAGCTCGGGTTCTAGCAGATGTCGCCTGTCCTGTCCTGTGATGCCATATTGCCGAACCGCCGGCTTGGGGGCGCGCGGCACCAGCAGACTGCGGGAATGCCGGCCGGGTGCAGGCGATGAGCCACGGCACCCAAGGGGACGATCCCCCGGACTCGCGTAAGATTCTGGATGCCAGCGCGTTTTATGCCGGCCTGCCCTTTAGGTCAGCGGAGAGGTTTGCCACCACGCCGCAGGTCTTCGACGAGGTAAGGCACATCAAAAGGGCGCAGGATGCCTTGGGGACCCTGATCCATACGGGCAGGCTGACAGTGGAGCGGGCAGGCGCCGGCGCAACGGAGCGGATCATCTCAAAAGCTAGGGAGACCGGGGATCACGGCCACCTCTCAGAGCAGGACATCTCGGTCCTTGCGCTGTGCATGGAGCGGGGCGGCCAGCTGGTGACCGATGACTTTGCGGTGTCAAATGTGGCAAGAAATCTCATGATGCCCGTCATACCCCTGATGACCGGCGGGATACGCACCGTCGGCAGGTGGGTCTACTACTGTATCGGGTGCAAGAAGGGCTTCCAGAATTCCCGGGAGTGCCCGCTGTGCGGAAATGCGCTGAAAAGAAGGCTACACAAGCGGTAGCCCCCTCCCGTACCAGTCCGCAAACGAGCCGTCATAGAGGACCACATCTCCAAACCCCGCAGTCCTGAGCTGAAAGTACAGGCTGGATGCCCTGTGGCCGTGCATGCAGTAGCACACGATCCTCCCCTCGCCGTCGACACCGCGGGATCGGAACATTCTTTCCAGCCGGTTCCCGTCCAGAAACAGCCTGCCGTCGGTTCCCAGCCCGTCTGTGAACGGAATGAGGATCGAGCCGGGCAGGTGCCCTCCCATGTACTCCTGCGGACTCCGGGCGTCAATCAGCGTGATGCCGGTGCCGTCCTGGATTGCTGCCGCGTCTGTCCTGATGAGGGGGTCGACCTCCGGGACGAACCTGGCGGGCGCGACCTCTGCCGGCCTCCTTGTCATCTTGGAGCTGTTCCTCCACAGCTCCCCCGGATCCTCCATGAGAAACGTCTTCTTGTGTCCAAAGTAGTTCAGCGTCCAGGCTATGCGAGCGGCAGACGGGTCCATGAGGTCGCCTGTTACCACCACCGTCTTTGTCTTGTCTATCCCCGCTTTGCCAAACACGTCTGCGGCTTGCTGCGCGTCGGGTGCCAGGTTGGCGCCGTACCTGTCAGGCCTTATCACCCTGTCCAGCATCAGCGACTGGGAGCCTGGTATGTGGCCGTACCTGTACGCCGTCTCCTGCCGGGAGTCCAGTACTATTACATCGGGATTGTGAAGGTTCTCCACAACCCACCTGTATGATCTGAACATGACTGTCTTATGCGCCTCATTTTATTTAATCGTGCCAATCATGGTGTCGCCTTGGCCTGATACGAACCTGTGATCGTCACTAGATACCGACCACATTAGGATGCACGCCGGCAAGGGTGCGGTGGCAATGCAGGGATGCGCCGCCGATCAGGGCCGCGTAGCCGCTCACCAAGAAGGTAGCTGCTGACGAGCCGGCAAGCGAAAGATACCGTGTCAAGCGGGAACGGCCTTCTGGATCCCGCAGCATGCTTTACGAGCGGCAGAGATCCCGACGGCAAGCCCTGCCGGCGCTACTCGCCAAGCCTCTTCTGTCCAGTGCTCCCCGTGCGGCCTGTCTTCTTCTTGAGCATTGCCCTGATCTTCTTTGCCCGCGCCTCGCCGAGTCCCTCCACCTTTGATAGGTCTGCCAGCGTAGCGTTGAAGACGTCAAGCGGGGAGCCGAACCTCTCAAGCATCCTGGCTGCCAGCTTCTCCCCTACCCCTGGAAGGCTCCCAAGGGCTGACAGCTGCTGGCGCTGCAGGTCCGATGACTTTTTTATCTTCTTCAGAAACGGCCCCGGCGTGTGTTCCTGCTTCTTGCACAGCGCCACTAGCAGCCTTGCGGTGTGGTACGCGCTGGGCGTGGGCAGTATCGGAATCTTGAACTCCATTGCGACCCGCCTCATCGAGCCGTAGAACACCATGGGATTGTCGACGATCTCCTCTATCTCGTCTATGTTCCCCTCCAGTATGATGACGGGATCCGTATAGTTCTCCTTGAGCCTGTGGCACTGATCCAGAAGCCGGCCGTCAAAGACCGACGATATAAAGTCGTGGACGCTCTTGCGCTCGACTACCGTCTCTGGCGCCACGATGTAGTCGCCCACCGGCAGCGTCACGACCTCGACATCAAGCCCCAGATTCTTAAGCAGCTGGGGAATCCTGCTCTTCTTCTCCCTCTCGTCTGCTACTATGCGCAGACCCTTGAGTCCTGCCACAGTGTGATGAAAAGGCTGTCGGTTATTTACGTTGGTGCGGATCGGGGCCCGCCTGCTGGCCCCTCATGGCCTCGTTCAGCTTTGCCTCTTGTTCCTTGAGGGACTCCTTTAGCCGGGCTTCCTGCTTTTCCAGTACGTCGTGGCGCGTCTTTGCTAGCATCCTCTTCTCCTCCAGCTCGTCTACGATGTCCTTTCTTGAGTATCTCACCAGGACGCTCCCTGCGTGCTTGTAGATTGTGTCCTCGTCAGACGCCTTCTGGAGCTCCTCTAGGGCCCGGTCAGTCTCCATCCGCTCCACGTCCAGCTGCTGCTTTTGAACCATGATCGACTGCAGGTTCTGCTGTGCCTGCTGCATATTCATCAGCTGTTCCCGCAGCCACGGCGGCATCTGTTGGCCTGACATAGGATACGGCGCGGCCGATGTTCTATTATACCTTGTCACGCTGCCCGGATCACGGGCCGTCGGGTGGCCTGGCTGCGGACTCGATAGATTTTGCGCTTGCCTGAATCAGGCGCAGAAGCGAGTTGAGGTTCGCCCTCAGGTGGGATATCTGGTCCGACCGAATGTCTGCAACCACCTCATCTGACAGTGACATGACGGTCTCTGTGGGGTTCTCCGGATAGAACATGTTGTCTGCGTTTATGGATTCGTATACGGCCCGGTTCTTCTCCCCGAGATCCACGGTAACCCTGGCACTAAATCTTGATGTCATATGCGGTACCGGCCACCTTGAAGTTGCACCGGCGGCATTCCCAGATTCCCACCGCGGTACGCCCGAACTTCTTCGAGCCGCACTCCGGGCACACCCTCTCCTGCTTGAGCTGAAAGTGTATCTTCGAGTACTGCTTTCTCAGCTTGATGCCGTACCTTGCGCCGAGTCCCCTGAGAGACTTTCTCTTGGCCATGCTACTCTTGAGTCCCTTTTAAGATCGTCCTTATCTTGTCGGCCAGCTTCACTGCGGTCTTGCCGCACTCTACGAGCTCTTCCACGGTAAAGCCGTTCTTGCCACCCTTTTGCAGGGCGCAGATGTTGCCGTCAGAGTTGCTGGTGATTGTGATTCTGGCGTCAAGGCAGTCCCACTCGTCGCCTGTCGGGTCAACGATGATGTGCTTGCCTATCCTGCCCATGGTAACCGACACGGGAATCGTACTGACCGGCAGATCAACCTTCTCGTCGTCTATCAGCGTCGGCACGTCGTCCTTGATCTCCCACCGGGGCATCTTGGAGGACAGCACTGCCGCGGTGGCGGCATAGGAGCAGGCATCAAAGAGGTTTCCGTCATAGTCAATCACGGTGTTGTCGGCGAACACGCCCACCACCGACTTGTCCTTCTTTATTACCAGCTGCGTCAGGTCGATCATCTTGCTCTCCCGTATTCCGCGGTCCACTACCCGGGCCAGCTCGATCACTGTCGGGTTGGGGGGTCCGGTCTCTACTGTGGGGTGTGAGAGCGGAAGCAGCTCGGCGGTGCAGATGAAGATGCCCTTGTCGCCCACGTCGGGAAACGGCCTGTCGGGCTGTATCTTTATGCCGCAGATCACGTCGGTGCTTCCGAGGTGAACGCGGGCAGAGCCGTTGGCCTTGGGTATTACGCCTGCCTCGATGATGATCTCCCTTGTCTCGTCAAAGGCCCGGCCGTCTATCCTCTTGCCCTGGTCTAGCAGCTCGACTATCTTGTCCTTCTTTAGCTGATCGAGAACCACCGTGGTCGTCATTTGTGGTCATCTCCAAAGTACCGCTCGTTGAGCGCCTTCTTTTGTATCTCGTATACTATCTTGCATCCCTTGATTCCGGTCTCGATGCACTCCTTGTACTCCTTGGGGCTCATGATGCCGTCCAGCTGAAGCAGGGTGACCTTTTCAAGGTTTGGCATGTAGCCGATGGGCATGTCCGCCTGGCCTGCCTGATCCTCCTCGTTGTTTACGTCAAGAACAACGGTGTCCGCGACCTTGCCGGCAGCGCACGCCGATACCATGTCCCTCATGGGAATCCCCGCGTCTGCCAGCGCAACTGATGCCGCGTCTAGCGCCGCGCACCGCGATCCACCGTCTGCCTGCAGCACTTCGATGAATACGTCAACTGCCGTCCGCGGAAACCTCTCCAGCATGACTGCCGGTTCCAGCGCCTCCTTTATCACCTTGGATATCTCGATCTCCCTTCTTGACGGGGCTGGGTTCTTTCTCTCACTGACAGAGTACGGCACCATGTGGTAGCGGCACCTGAGTATTCCGGTACTTGAGTTTGCCATGTGTTTTGGGTGCACGTCCCTGGGGCCATACACCCCGCACATGATTTTGTTGTCGCCAAACTCGATGTATGCAGAGCCGTTGGCGTTCTTGAGAACTCCTGCCTTTATCATGATCTTGCGCGGCTCGTCGATCTTGCGCCCGTCGCAACGGATGCCGTTCTTGTCCAGCAGAACCATAGTTGAATCTCTTCCGCCCATTTTAATCGCCCTTTGTCTCTAGCATCTTCCTGACCTGTTCGGTAAGGTTTGCAACGTGCGCCTTTTCATTTATCATCTGGATGGCCTTCTTTGCCTTTAATAACCCATCCGGATCCTCTCCTGCCACCACGATCCTGCCGTTCTGGCCTATGGTGATCGTAGTTCCTGTTGCGTTCTCTATTATCTGAATCATGCTTCCCCGCTTTCCAATCAGCCTTGGCACCTTGCTTGGAGATATCTCCACAAGGTCTCCCGAGTCGATCTTTCCCAGATCCATGTCTGACACGGTGAGAAGCGGATCCCGCGTCCTGTCAAAGTTTGCCACCCTGGTTGCCACCAAGTCACCGGGCCGGAGCTTTGAGAATAGCTCGTCGGCGTGCGCGGAAAAGTTCCTGCCAAACACGTCTGATGCAGGAAGCACCCCCACGTACGAGGAGCTGATGTCCAGCTCCCATGAGAGGGATGTGTTTGTGGTCACCTTGCCGATTACCAGATCGTTGATCTTTGGGTAGTACTTTCCCGTAAGCGGGATGACCCTTACGGTGTTGTCAAATATCTCGGATATTCCGACCGTCGTTGCAACAATGTTCTTGCCGCGCATCGTTACGTTCTGCTCAGGCCTGTAGGGGCCGCTTGTGATTGTGTCTCCGGGGATCACGTACTTTCTCTTTATTGGATCCATCAGCGAACCATCTCCACCGTGGCGGTGCCCTTTGTAATCGAGCCCAATCGGTCTATCACAGTTGGCCTTGCTGCGGCGGATATTTCAAGTATTGCTTTTAGGGAGCCGTTGGGAAGCCAGTCCTCGCGCTTGAGCTGTCCGGTGGATTTGAGGATCGAATAGGATCGGGCCACGTACTGCGCGGGCACGACGATCTCCAGATCGAGGTTCTCTGTCTTGAGGGGGATGATCCTTCGAAGCTTCTCGACTGTCTCCTTTACCTGCTCGTCTGCGCTCCTGTGCGGATCGATTGAGACCTTGGCGTCCTTCATCGCCTGCTCTATTCTCAGGGGCGGGTGGGGTAGGTGGGATCTGGGATCCACAAAGTTTCTGGAGATGTGCGTCACCAGCTGCCTCCGCTTCTCCTCTATCATCTTGCGCCTCTGGTCCGTGGTGAGGTTGAGATCGCCCTTCTCCAGTATGCGCCTTGCCACCTCTGCGCGATCCTCCGTTCCAAACGCCTTGAGGATCTTCTCAGACGATGCCCGGGTTCCCCTGCCAGAATCGGTGTAGATCTCATCAGACACCATGACTGCGGACATGTCCTTCTTCCTTCCCAGCTTGTAGTCCAGCGCAGGATCCGGCTTGACCAGGATCTCGAACTTGTCCCCCTCAAACGAGAACCTGACCACGGTTACGTCCGTCATGGATCATCCTGTCGGCAGTCGGTTATTTATATATGGGTTCTTTCGGGTTGCGGAGAGTCGCGCCGCGGCAGATCGCGTTTCCAGGCATGGCGGCGCACGGCTCCGGTCTTAGTGGGGCAGCTGGCCGCCACCGGGCGCTGGCGCGCGTCTTGGGTTCGCAGGGTAACGCGTCTCTGAAGCAGCTCCTGCGGCCCGGTCTGCCTCCCCGGCATGTCGCACCTACAAAACCAGCTAGATTTTTATTTGGACTTGGGCGTTTTTGAGTGATTTGTCTTCTCTAGAGGTAATCAGCAAGGATGAGAGAAGGATCTCGATAATGATGAGGAACATTCCGCTTCCCTACGCCAATGCCATAAGGAGGATATGTCTCAACGGCGTTCCGGTCTTTGCCATAGACAAGGTGTCGGTGAGGGAGAACTCCTCGGTCATGGCAGACGAGGCCCTCGCCCACAGGCTGGGGCTGATTCCGCTGAAGACAGATCTCACCGAGTTCAAGGAGCTCAAAAGCGTGGATACCGATCACGACACCAGCAAGGTGATGCTGATACTGGACCTGGAGGAGTCTGACGCCACCAGGACCGTCCTCTCCGGCGAGCTGACGTCTGAGGACAGGTTTGTAAAGCCTGTGTCTGCTGATATCCCGATCGTGGTTCTGGCACCGGGGCAGAAGGTATGGATAGATGCCTACGCGCGCCTGGGGCGCGGCACCGAGCACGCAAAGTGGAACTCGGCAAACATCGCCGTGCTGACCGAGACAGACGAGGACGAGGAGAGGATCCTGACCGTCGAGTCCACCGGGGCGCTACCGCCGGAGCAGATCGTACTCTCGGCAGTAGAAGAGCTCTCAAACCGAATATCCGGCTTTAAAGAGCTGGTAAGCCAGGTGGCATAAGCATGCATATTATATTTGGGTGCACAGGGAGTTCACTCTGATGGCTAGCCAGACTGTATTTACCATGGCAAGGGAGCTCAGAAAGGCGTCTAGAAGCAACGACGCGCCCATCTGGTCCAGGCTCTCCCGCGAGGCGCTCAAGCCGTCGGCAGCAAGAAGAACCATCAACCTCAACAAGATGAGCAAGCTTACCCGCGAAGGTGACGCCGTCTTCTTTGCAGGCAAGGTCCTGGGCACCGGCGCAATCTCCCACAAGATTACACTGTGCTCGTTTTCCATATCCCGCACGGCCGCGCAGAAGGTTCTTGCCTCGGGCGGAAGCATTCAGGGATACCGGGAGATGGTGGGCCAGTTTCCCACTGGCAAGGGGGTAGTTCTGCTTGGGTAGCGCCGTCATGTCAGCAGATAAGGAGGCTGTGCAATGATATCCGGCACGAGCCACCTGGTGGTTGACGCAACGGATCACGTGGCCGGAAGGCTGGCATCCTTCACCGCAAAGCAGCTTCTTCAGGGCAACAGGGTCTCGCTAGTGAACTGCGAGAACATCATGCTCAGCGGAAGCAGGAGAAACATAGTCGGGGAGTACAAGAAATTTCTGGAGATCGGCAGCATCATAAACCCAAAGCACGGCCCGTTTCATCCCAGGCGGCCTGACACCATAATTACGCGAATGGTCCGCGGAATGCTGCCCAGGACCAAGACATCGGGAATCGAGGCCCACAAGAGGCTGCGCGCGTACATCGGGGTCCCAAAGCCGCTCAAGACCACAAAGAAGACACAGTTTGACAAGGCAAAGATCAAAAGGCCGGCAGCAGACTATGTCACTATGGCGGAGCTTGGACGAACAGTGGGGTGGACCGAATGACCACGCCCAAGACGGAGATCTACTTTGCAACAAGAAAGACCGCCAGCGCCCACGTCTACATAACCAAGGGCAACGGCAGGATCAGGATAAACAACGTGCCGGTGGAGATGATCGGACACGAGATGTCCCGGGAAGCAATCCTGGCTCCGCTGGAGATAGCAGGAGACCTCAGAACCAGGGTGAACATATCTGTCCGGGTAAGGGGCGGCGGCTACTCGGGGCAGGCCAGCGCCGTGGCGACTGCCATATCTCGGGCGCTAACAGGCTGGACCAAGAGCAAGAAGGAGCCCAGGGATCACCCGTTTCCCAAATCCATCAGGGAAGACCTGCGAAAGAGAATCTCGGTATATGACAAGTATCTGATCAGCGGCGACGCCAGGATGAAGGAACCCAAAAAGTTCGGCGGCCCCGGTGCAAGAAGACGAAAGCAAAAGTCCTACCGTTAGGGCGTGAAGGCGGTAATTTTAGCCGGTGGCAGTGGCACCCGGGGAAAGCCGTACACCGACTACATCCCCAAGGCCATGTTCCCAGTGGGCGACCGGCCACTGATCGACTACATCCTGGATCACGTCTGCGCCTCAGACGTGATCGACGGGGTGATCATAATATCTGACTTTGAGGGGCTGGGCGGCCAGATAAGGAACTACCTGGATGGCTCCCGCCGCAAAAAAGGGATCACGCTGGTCCAGGACTCCCAGTCCGGCACCGGCGGGGACCTGCTTCACGCCCAGCAGGCCTTGGAGGGGTCGCAGGAGTTCCTGCTATGGTTTGTGGACAACCTGTGCGCGCTGGACATATCCGCAATGCTGTCGCACTTTCAAGAGAAGGGCGGCCTCGCATGCATCGCAACCCGGACCAGCAGGAGGGAGGAGACCGGCTTTGCCGACGTGGCCGACGGCATGGTGCGAAGCTTCAGCGAAAAGCCCACGGTGCGGCTGCCCATGGCAGAGTGCCTGGGGATATACATCCTCTCGACTGGGATCCTTCCGATGATAAGGCAGGTGCAGGGCAGCGTCAACCTGTCCTATGACATACTGCAGGGGCTGGCGCAGCGGGGCGGCGTGAGCGCCTACAACACGGACGAGGACTGGATGGATGTCGGCTCGCCTGCGACCCTGGAGAGAAACGCCTCCCTTGCCAGCGGGATCATACGACGGATGGCAGCCTAGTGCGCCGCTCATAGTCTGATATCTTGTCTTCCAGCCTGAGGGTCAAGGCTATGTCGTCCAGTCCTTCCAGCAGTATCCTCTTCTTGTGGGGGTCTATTGTGAACGGTATCCTGCCTGATCCGGACGTGATCTCCTGGGACTCCAGGTCGATGCGGATCGTGCCGGCCCCGAGCCGGTCTATCTCGTCCCGGCCAAGCCTGATCGGCAGCAGGCCGTTCTTGAAGCAGTTGCTGTAGAAGATGTCGCCAAAGGACGGGGCTATGACCGCGCGGAACCCGTAGTCCAGCAGGGCCCACACCGCGTGCTCCCGGGACGAGCCGCACCCAAAGTTCTCCCCGGTTACCAGTATCTGCGAGTCCCGGTACCGGGGCTCGTTGAGGACAAATCCCGGATCTGGAGCGCCCTGCTGATCAAAGCGCCAGTTAAAGAAGAGGCACTTGCCGAAGCCGGTCTTCTGCACCCTCTTGAGGAACTGCTTGGGCACTATCTGGTCCGTGTCCACGTTCACCTTGTCCAGCAACACCGCGGTGCTGCGGATCTCTGCAAAGGGCTCCATCTCAGTTCAGGTCCATCTCTCTTACGTCCACAAAGTGCCCGCTTACCGCGGCGGCCGCTGCCATCACGGGGCTCACCAGGTGGGTCCTTCCCCCGGCTCCCTGGCGGCCCTCAAAGTTGCGGTTTGACGTACTGGCGCACCGCTGGCCGGGTTCGAGTATGTCCGGGTTCATCCCAAGGCACATGCTGCAGCCGGACTCGCGCCACTCAAAGCCCGCGTCCCGAAATACCCTGTCAAGGCCCATCTCCTCTGCCTGCCTTTTGACGTCCTGGGAGCCGGGCACCACCATTGCGTCAACACCCGGGGCCACCCTGCGGCCGCGGGCTGCGCGGGCGGCATCGATCAGATCCTCCAGCCGGGCGTTGGTGCACGAGCCGATAAAGACCCGGTCCACGGGGATCTCGGTGATGGGGGTGCCGGGCCTCAGGTCCATGTACTCCAGCGCCTTCTTTGCGCCGCGCACCTGGCCGGGGTCGTCCCCGGCATAGTCCTCGGGAAACGGCACCGACTGGGTGACGTCGCAGGTCATGGCGGGGTTGGTTCCCCAGCTCACCTGGGGGGCGATCTCGTCGGTGTGTATCGTGTATGACTTTGCAAACGTGGCCCCGGAGTCCGTGGTGAGATCCCGCCTCCATGCATCCACCATCTCCTCATAGTCCTCGGGCGTGTACCTGCGGCCCCGCAGGTACCGGAACGTCTTCTCATCTGGGGCGATGAGGCCTGCGCGGGCTCCTGCCTCAATGGACATGTTGCACACGGTCATCCTCTGTTCCATGGACATGTCAGATATTCCGGATCCCCTGTACTCGATCACCGTGCCGGTTCCGCCGGCGGTGCCGATGTTCCTTATTATGGACAGTATGACGTCCTTGGCGGTTATGGTGGGGCCCCTCTTTCCTGTCACCACGACCTCAAAGGGCTCCGGCCTCTCCAGCCAGAGGGTCTGCGATGCCAGCACATGCTCCACCTCACTCGTTCCGATTCCCAGCGCCAAGGCGCCAAAGGCGCCGTGCGTCGAGGTGTGGCTGTCCCCGCAGACGATGGTGGTGCCGGGCAGCGTGATTCCCATCTGCGGCCCTATGACATGCACGATACCCTGGCCGGCGCTGCCCATCCCGAACAGCCTGATCCCAAAGTCCCGGCAGTTCCTCTCCAGGGTCTGTATCTGTATGAGGGACGTCTGGTCCGCTATGGGAAGGGAGCGGTTGGTCGTCGGTATGTTGTGATCCACCGTGGCCACAGTCAGGTCCGGGCGCCGCACGCCCCTGTTGCTCTTGCGCAGCCCGTCAAACGCCTGCGGCGAGGTCACCTCATGTACCAGGTGTCTGTCTATGTACAGGAGTGACGGGCGACCGTCTGCCACTACGTGCGCGTCCCATATCTTACCAAAGAGCGTCCTCGCCATGGTCTACTCCTCGGGCCTGAACTTGAAGAGCCCGCCCGCTGCCACGATCTTGGCAATTATGTCCGGAAACGGCTTCATCCTGTAGGTCTCGTTCCTTGTGATGTTGCGTATCCTGGATGTTGCGGTGTCGATCTCAAGCTCGTCGCCCTGGGAGATTGCCGAGTACGTGGACTCGTCCACCTCGATGGGGAGAAGAAAGGCGCCGTCCACCGCATTCCTGTAAAATATCCTGGCAAAGGAGAGCGCCAGCACCGCCTGGATTCCGGAATGGGCAAGCGCGATCGGCGCATGCTCCCGGGACGAGCCGCATCCAAAGTTCTTCCCCGCAAGCACAAAGTCCCCCTTCTTCACCTTGGAGTGAAAGTCGGGATCCAGCCCCTCCATGGCATGCGTAGCAAGCTCCGCATAGTCGTGAATCTTGAGGTACATGCCTGGTATTATGACGTCCGTGTCTATGTTGTCCTGCGCATACTTGATGACGCCGCCCCTCAATCCAGATCCCTCGGGTCAGTTATCCTGCCGGTCACCGCCGATGCGGCAGTCACCTGGGGCGACGCCAGGTACGTCCTGGACTCGACATGCCCCATGCGCCCGGGAAAGTTCCTGTTGGTGGTGCTGATGCACACCTCGCCCTTTGCCAGGACCCCCATGTGCGCGCCGCAGCATGCGCCGCAGGTCGGCGGGCCCACCACGGCTCCGGCATCAAGGAATATCTTCAGCAGTCCGCTGTCGGCCGCCCTCTTGTATATCGAGATTGCCGCTGGCAGGACCTCTGTTCTTATCTTTACGGTCTTTCCCTTGAGCACCCTTGCCGCTGCCTCCAGGTCCTCCATCTTGGCGCCGGTGCAGGATCCGATGTATGCCTTGTCCAGGGGCGTGGACGGCGCCTCCCTTACCACGGATATGTTCGCAGGGGAGAACGGCTCTGCGACAACGGGCTCAAGCTCTTCTGCCTCGTACTCGTACACCCTGGCATACTCGGCGTCACCGTCCCCGTGCACGGGGGTGTAGCTCGCGGCGCCGCGTCCGTCCAAGTAGTCGTAGACCTTTTGGTCCGGCTCGATGATTCCGTTCTTGGCGCCTGCCTCGGTGGTCATGTTGGTCAGGGTGAGCCTTCCCTCCACTGACATGTTCTCCACCCCGCTGCCCCCAAACTGCATCGCTCTGTACGCCCCGCCGTCGGTCCCGATCTCGCCGATTATCCTCAGGATCAGGTCCTTGGCCATTACGTGATCCGGCAGCCTGCCGTTTATCTGAAAGTATAGCGTCTCTGGCACCTTGAACCAGATTCTGCCGTTTAGCAGGACGTACGCCACGTCTGTGTGTCCGAGGCCGCATGCAAAGGCGCCCAAGGCCCCAGTGGTGTTGGTGTGCGAGTCGCCGCCCACGTACACCTGGCCGGGAAGGACTAGCGCCTCCTCGTGCGAGAGCGTGTGGCATATTCCGTACTGGCCCATGCCGTACCGGAAGTGCTTCTCGATGCCGTACTCCCTTGTAAAGTTGGACAGCTTGACTATGTTCTCCGCTGATATCTTGTCGGCCGAGGGGACAAAGTGGTCCTCTGCGACCCACACCTTGGAGGGATCCTTGAGCCTGTCTACTGGTATGCCCTGCTCCCTTAGCCTCTCAAACACCTTGAGCACGCCGGGCCCCGAAACGTCGTGGACCATCACCCTGTCCACATCTGCAAATATGACGTCGTCGGGGGCCACGCGGTCCCTGCCGGATGCCCGTGCCAGTATCTTCTCAGTTATGTTCACAGGAACAAAAGTCGCTCCTTGTGATTAAAACGTTTTCAGACGATGTTTGGTTCTGGATCCGGCACCTGTGTGATCCCGTATCGGGTATGGTGGGATGCGTACTCCTCCATGCCACTTGTATCCATATGTGGGAGCTAAATTTATGGCAGGCGCGGCAGACCAAAGACCATGCAGCTACTGGGAAAGCTGGAGATTAAATCTCCGGAACGGATTGCCCGTTTCCTCAACACCGAGCATGTGGGCAGGATTGCCACCATGGACGAGCGCGGCTACCCGCAGGTAATTCCCATGAACTTTGTGTTCCTTGACGGGTTCATCTACCTGCACTCGCATATCAGGGGCGAGAAGCTGGACAACATAAGGCGAAACCCAAAGGCGGGATTCGAGGTGGACCGGGAGCTGGAGTTTCTGCCCTCGTACTTTGAGGATCCCCACGACGCCTCCCTGGCAGACACCCTGTACGTCAGCGTGGTGATCAAGGGGGCGGCGCACATCGTATCTGACCTCGCCGAAAAGTCCCGGGCTCTAAACGGCCTGATGGAGAAGTACCAGCCGGAGGGCGGATACACCCCCATCACTCCGCCGATGTCCGTGCTGGATCACGTGGCCGTAATACGCGTATCCCCCGTGTCCGTCCGGGGAAAGTACAAGATAGGCCAGACGCTTGCGGCGCGGGCCCGAACGGAGCTTGCAGAGAAGATCCTCAAGCGCTCAAGCCAGACCGCCGAGGAGACGCTGAAGGTGATGGGGTTTGCGGTTGCAGGCGGCAAGCTTGAGATGATCGACGAGCCGGTCTGGTGACATGATGCTTTAAATCTAGTTTTGCTCCCCGCCTGCGCATTGACTCGCAACCGCCCATTCAAGCTGGTCTCTGAGTTTGCCCCCACCGGGGACCAGCCCCAGGCCATCGAGTCCCTGGTCCGCGGCGTCAAAGCAGGAAGGAGCCAGACCCTGCTGGGCGTGACCGGCAGCGGAAAGACGTTTACGGTGGCAAACGTGATTGCCAGAACCGGCAAGAACACGCTTGTGATATCACACAACAAGACCCTGGCCGCGCAGCTCTACTCCGAACTGAGGCAGTTCTTTCCGGAGAACAACGTGGGCTACTTTGTGTCATACTATGACTACTACCAGCCGGAGAGCTACATGCCCCAGACCGATACCTACATTGAGAAAGGACACGCAGATAAACGAGAAGATAGAGAAGATGCGGCTGGAGACCACCGCCATGCTGCTCTCCGACGAGCCCACCATCGTTGTCGCCACCGTGTCGTGCATCTACTCCCTGGGAAACCCAGCGGACTGGGATCAGATGTCTGTCATCATACGCCAAAGCCAGAGGATCAGCCGGCGGGATCTCATCGCCGGACTGCTAAATGCCAGGTACGAGCGAAACGACACCGAGGTCGCGCCGGGCAACTTCCGGGTCCGGGGGGACACCATAGACGTGGTGCCCGCCTACTCCAGCGACATAGTGCGGATCTCCATGTTCGGCGACGAGATAGAGAAGATAAGCATACTTGACAACATGGCGTCCCATGAGAGAAGGCAGGTGTCCCAGTTCAAGATATTTCCTGCCAAGCACTACCTCATTGCCAGCGATGTCCGGGACAGGGCGCTCGGCTCGATCAGCCAGGAGCTGCAGGAGAGGCTCCCGGAGCTGCGGGAGCTGGAGCGCCAGCGCCTGGAGATGAGAACAAGTTACGACCTTGAGATGATCCAGGAGCTGGGGTACTGCTCCGGAATAGAGAACTACTCCCGGCACTTTGACGGGCGAAGTCCCGGCCAGCCGGCGTTCTGCCTGCTGGACTTTTTTGGCGACGACTACCTCCTGGTAATAGACGAGTCGCACGTCACGCTGCCCCAGCTGCACGGGATGTACAAGGGCGATCGCTCAAGAAAGGAGCATCTCGTGACGTACGGCTTTCGGCTGCCCAGCGCCTTTGACAACAGGCCGCTAAAGTTTGAGGAGTTTGAAGGATACATGAAAAACGCGATATTTGTCTCTGCCACGCCCGGCGACTATGAGCGGGAGCGCTCCTATCGGATAGCAGAGCAGCTGGTGCGCCCCACGGGGCTGGTGGACCCTTCGGTGGAGATAAGGCCCACCGGGGATCAGATGGACGATCTGATCGCCGAGATTCAAAAGAGGGTGCAGAGGAACGAGCGGGTGCTGGTGACCACGCTGACCAAGAGAATGGCAGAGGATCTGGCCGAGTACCTCTCCAGGCATGACGTGAGGGTGCGGTACCTGCACTCAGAAATTGAGGGCCTCAAGAGGACGGAGCTCATCAGGCAGCTGCGGCTGGGCGAGTTTGACGTGCTGGTGGGAATCAACCTGCTCAGGGAGGGCCTGGACATTCCAGAGGTCTCCCTGGTGGCAATACTGGATGCCGACAAGGAGGGATTCTTGCGCAACAACACCAGCCTGATTCAGACCTTTGGGAGGGCTGCAAGAAACGACGCCGGCGCGGTCATCATGTACGCAGATACGGTCACGCGTTCCATGAAGACGGCAGTGGCCGAGACCGATAGGAGGCGCGCGAGGCAGGCGGAGTACAACCGGAGGCACGGCATCACGCCGCAAACCATCACAAAGTCCATACCTGAGCAGGTGACCGAGGTTGATGACATCAAGATCAAGTCCACGCACGACCTCTCCGCAGATATCGTAAACATGGATGCGCAGATGAAGACGTGCGCGCAGGAGCTGGACTTTGAGGGGGCCATAGAGTACAGGGACGAGATCCGGAGAATAAGCAAGGCAATCGAGAGGAAGGGGCATGGAAGATAAGGTAAAGATCCGCGGCGCCAGGCAGCACAACCTGAAGAACATTGATGTGGACATACCAAAGAACAGGCTGGTTGTAATCAGCGGCCTGTCGGGCTCTGGCAAGTCCACCCTTGCCTTTGACACCCTGTACGCAGAGGGCCAGCGAAGGTACGTCGAGTCCCTGTCGGCGTACGCGCGCCAGTTCCTTGAGATGATGGACAAGCCGGACGTGGACTCGATCGACGGACTCTCCCCCGCAATATCGATACAGCAGAAGACCACCAGCAAGAATCCCCGCTCCACGGTGGGAACCGTCACGGAGATTTATGATTACATGAGGCTGCTGTACGCGCGGGTGGGCATACCGCACTGCATCCGGTGCGGCGGGGTGATATCCAGCCAGTCAGTCGAGGCAATCTGCGATACGGTCCTCAAGGAGTTTCAGGGCCGGCAGGTGCTTGTGCTGGCGCCCGTGGTGCAGCACAAAAAGGGGACATATGACTGGCTCTTTGAGTCGATCAAAAAGGACGGCTACTCCCGGATACGGGTGGACGGCAGCATTGTGCCGCTTGACGGGGAGATGCCGCCCCTGGACAAGCAAAAGTGGCACAACGTCGAGATTGTCGTGGATCGCCTGACCGCAGAAAAGTCAGAGCGGTCCAGGCTGTTCGAGTCCGTGGGGACAGCGCTGAGGGCGGCCAAGGGCTACGTGATGATATCAGCAGAGGCAGACGACCGCATATTCTCCCAGAACAATGCCTGCCCCAAGTGCAAGATCAGCATCGGCACCCTTGAGCCGCGCTCGTTCTCGTTCAACTCCCCGTTTGGGATGTGCAAGGGGTGCAACGGCCTGGGACACTCCCGGGTGTTTCACCGGGATCTGCTAATTCCGGATGATTCCAAGTCCATCCTTGAGGGGGCCATAGTCCCGTGGGACTACCTTGTGGACTCGTTTGGATCCGCACTGCGCCGTACCCTGAAGGCTGCCGGTATCAAGATGAACATGCCCATAAGGAAGATGGCCGCCAAGCAGCTGAACCTGCTGCTTCACGGCTCTGATGCCAGACGCGGCCTGCCGGGTACATACATGGGCATATTTGACTGCCTGTACAGGCTGCATGCGAGCAGCTACTACGGAATGGGCAGGGACCGGCTGGACCGCCTGATGATGGACATCCCATGCGATACCTGCAACGGAAAAAAGCTCAATGCAGAGGCGCGGGCGGTAACGGTCGGCGGCATGGGGATAATGGACGTCTGCGATCTGCCCGTGGATCAGTGCTATGACTTTTTTGCCACCATAAACCTGTCTGACACGGAGCAGTACATCGCCCGTGACGTCCTAAAGGAGATCAGGGGCAGGCTGGAGTTTCTGCGAAACGTGGGGCTTGACTACCTCACCCTGGGCCGGTCCAGCTCCTCGCTGTCGGGAGGCGAGTCCCAGAGGATCAGGCTGGCGACGCAGATAGGCTCAAACCTCACCGGCGTCCTGTACGTCCTAGACGAGCCCACCGTCGGCCTGCACCAGAGGGACAACGCCAGGCTCATCAGGACGCTGGCCAAGCTGCGGGATCTGGGAAACACCATAATCGTGGTCGAGCACGACGAGGAGGTGATACGGAGCTCGGACTGGATCATAGACCTGGGACCGCGGGCCGGGGTAAACGGCGGCAGGATAGTCTTTGAGGGAACCGTCCAGAAGATGCTCGGCAGCGACAGCTCGATTACTGGCAGGTACCTCAACGGCAAGGAAGTGATAACCCTCAAGGAGCGGACAAGGCGGCAGAACGGCAGCATCCTGGTCGAGGGGGCGGCCGTAAACAACCTCAAGTCCATCGACGTCGAGTTTCCCCTGGGGCTCTTTATCGTGGTCACCGGAGTGTCCGGCTCTGGCAAGTCATCACTCGTAAACGAGATCCTGCTAAAGTCGCTCGAGTACAAGCTCCACGACAAGAGAAGGATACCGGGCAAGCACGACCGGATTCTGGGTATTGGCAACATAGACAGGGTTATCGCAATCGACCAGTCTCCCATCGGCAGGACGCCGCGATCCAACCCCGCCACATACATAGGCGTCTTTACGCCCATCCGGCAGATCTTTGCCAAGACCGGCAGGGCAAAGGAGATGGGGTACACGATAAGCCAGTTCTCCTTTAACGTGGATGCGGGAAGGTGCTTTGAGTGCGAGGGAAACGGCCTGAAGCGGATCGAGATGCAGTTCCTCTCAGACGTGTACGTGCAGTGCGACCGGTGCCACGGCAAGAGGTACAACTCGGAGACCCTGACGGTGCTGTACAAGGGGAAGAACGTATCTGACGTGCTGGACATGACGGTGGATGAGGCCATCAAGTTCTTTGAGAACGTGCCCTCGATCAGAAAAAAGATGCAGACCATATACGACGTGGGCCTTGGGTACATCAAGCTGGGCCAGTCCTCCACCACGCTGTCCGGCGGCGAGGCCCAGAGGGTAAAGCTGGCAGCGGAGCTCTCAAAGACGGACACGGGAAGGACGATGTACATACTGGACGAGCCGACGACCGGCCTGCACTTTGCGGACGTTCAGAAGCTGCTGGAGGTCATCAACCGGCTGGTAAACCTGGGAAACACCGCGGTTGTGATAGAGCACAACATGGACGTTATAGGAAACTCGGACTGGGTCATAGACCTGGGCCCCGAGGGCGGCCTTGAGGGCGGCCGGGTGGTTGCCACGGGAACCCCGGAGCAGATATCTGCATCACCGGGAAGCTACACGGGCAAGTACCTGAAAAAATTCATGAGCCGATGACCCTGGATCCGTCAACCCTCTCCATTCCGTCCCGCACCGGCATCTACATAATGAAGGATGCGGCGGGCGCCACGATATACATCGGCAAGGCAAAGAACCTGAGGAACAGGGTCCGGTCATACTTTGCCAAGAACCAGAACTACAAAATGCAAAAGCTCGTCCAGAGGATTGTCGACATCGAGTTTGTCCTGACAGACAGCGAGGCCGAGGCGTTCATGCTAGAATCCAATATGATAAAGCGGTACCGGCCGATGTACAACATAGAGCTGAAGGATCAGCAGCGCTACACATACTTGCGGGTTACGGGGAGAAGTATCCCCGGCTCTTGGTCACGCGAAGGACCAGGTCGGGAAAGTTTCTTGGCGAGGGAAGGGTGTACGGCCCGTTCACGCAGGGCAGCTCGAAGCTGCTGACGATAGGCGCCCTGCGCAAGGCGTTTAAGATCAGGATCTGCAAGACGCTTCCCAAGAAGGCCTGCCTGGAGTACCACCTGGGAAACTGCGAGGCGCCGTGCCAGTTCGGCGAGGCCCAGGAGAGGTACGGACAGCATGTCCGGAACCTCGAGTCGGTCCTGAAGGGAAAGCAGGGCATGCGGGACTTTGTTGAGCGGATGCGCCGGGAGATGGATGAGGCCGCCGCATCGCAGCAGTATGAGCGGGCAATGGAGATCAGGGACACGCTGCAGAGGCTGGGCAGCCTCCAGACGGAGCAGAAGATGGAGTACGTCACCGGGGCCCCGGACGAGGACTATTTCGGGATAACGGTCGAGGATCACACCGCGCTGATTATGACGCTGAGGCAGAAGCACGGCGTGATTCGCGACACGGATCGCTTCTCCTTTGACATGGTGGCAGACAACACGTTTGGAAACTTTCTGTTCCAGTACTACACCACCCACAAGACACCCAGGAACATCCTGGTAAGCGAGCTGCCCGAGAACCGGGAGACCTTGGAGGGGCTGCTCTCAAGGAATGCCGGCTCTGATGTCAGCATCATAATGCCCAAAGGTGGAAAGAAGCGGCAGATGATCTCCCTGATCATGAAGAATATAGCGCTGATCCAGCACCAGGGGGCGCAGCCGGGCCTGACCGAGCTGGAGGAGGCGCTGCGCCTTGGGCACCCCCCAAGGATAATCGAGTGCTTTGATGTCTCAAACCACGGCACCGACTATGCGGTGGGTGCGATGTCGAGGTTTGATGACGGCGTCCCGGACAGGTCAGGGTACCGGAGGTTCAAGATAGGCACGGTGCGCGGCCAGGACGACTTTGCGATGATCTCTGAGATAGTCACACGGAGGTACGCGAGGCTGCTGAAGGAAGAGTCCGCAATGCCGGATCTTGTCCTGGTGGATGGCGGCACGGGACAGCTAGGCGCCGCGCTAAAATCCCTGAAAGGCATTGGGGTAGAGGTTCCCTGCGCGTCCCTGGCAAAGAGGGACGAGGAGGTGTTTATGCCCGGCAGGGGCGGGCCCATCCGGATGCCTCGGGACAACCCGGGACTGAAGATACTGCAGTATGCCAGGGATGAGGCACACCGGTTTGGCGTTGCCTACAACAGAAAGCTGCGCAAGCTGTGAGGCCAGTATCTGCCCTCATGCAAGCGCAACTTGCCCGTGTGTGGCCGCTCCCACGTAGGTTCCTCATCTTGATGCTATGGGTAATCCCACACCGTGCGAGTATCGGGAGACAAAAAGGCCTTGTTTTTGGGTTAACTTAGGGAATTACATAGTTAAGTAAACTGTCGGCGCTGCCGCATGGCCGGGGCTTCCCGTCCCGGCCGATCATGCGGTCCGGCAGACCGGCCTTCCCGATTCATGACGGGCCGGCAATTGCATCCGGTTTTCCGATGCCGGCCGGCATCCCGAGGCAGGCAGGAGCCCCGGAAGGCGGCGGCTTGGTTGCGCCTTTCATACAGGCAAATGCCGGATCCGCATGGGGAGCCGTCCCAAACCGATCCGGCATTGGCGCAAGGCGGCAGCCGCATGCAAAAGCGGCCAAAACCCGTCATCTTCGGGCCTTCCGTCCGGGGCGCCGTTCCCGCGCGGTGCCGGCGCCACACCGTGGCGGCCGGAACCTCACTGGCAGGCGCGGCACCGCCATATCTCCTTTTATACTCGGCTGGCATTTGCATGCGGTAATGAAACCCATCGTGGCAACCACAATTGCGCCAACGGCAGCGGCAACAGCAACGGCAACCGAGCCGGCGCCAAAAAAGTGGTCAAAGCGCCCAATGGAGGGCATCATGATACGCACCATAAAAATGGACTTTGACCAGTCTGCCGAGACGTCGGATCTCATATCGCGCCACATGGACCAGCAGAGGTGGGCGTTCAACATGGCGGTGCGGGAAAAGCTGAAAGACCCGAGGACAACCAAGTTCGACCTCAACAAGATGCTCACCAAATGGAGGGACGCAAACGGGTGGCTGGTCCATGACAAGAAAGCGCGGGCCGCTGGACGCAAGGAGGCCTGCTACAGCAGGGTGCAGAGGGCGGGGCTCCTGCTGGGCCTTGACGCCGTAAAAAAATTCATGGCATCCAACGGCAAAAAGCACTCCAACAAGTCCCTGTGGAAACGCCTGGCCAGGCGGGAACGGGAAAAGGAGGGGATACCGGACATCGGCACCGCGCCCAACCTGCCGTCGAACAAGTGGAGCAACAAGAGGAACGAATGGACCCACAGGGATTCCCTGTTTAAGAGGAAGGGGGAGCAGCGGTCCCTCTCCGTGTTCAGGAATCCCGTGTACAAGGGCAACGGCATGCTGCATCTTCCCGGTATCGGCATAGTGAGGGTGCACGGCGACGTGGATGGCCTCGAAATGCTCTCCTTCCAGCTCGTCGAGACGACCAAGAGGACCACGAAACGCACCGAGGACCACAACAGGACGTACCGGCTCCACATCCGGGTTGAAACCAAGGCCCTAGGGCCGTCGGAGTCCACGGTAACCAGGGGTGTCGACATGGGCATAGTCCACGGCGCCGCCACCGTCGACCTTGGCACCGGCCACCCCACATTCTATGACCTCCCAAAGGACTGCAGGAGGGCGAAGAACGACGACATATCGAAGATGTACTCGGAGCTCTCTAGGAAGCGCGGCGGGAGGGGCAACAGTCGCACCAAACAGGATGCCAAGGAAGGCGCCAGTGGCGTGAGCGATGGCTCGGACGGCGGGAACGGCGCCAACGGCGGCAGCAGCAACAACACCAGCGGCCGCAACAGGAACGAGGCAAGGAAGCCCAAGTCAAGAAGCTACAAGGAGCTCCAGAGAAAGATCAGGAAGAAGCACGAGAAGCTCGCCAACAGGCAAACCAACTGGGAGCGCCACGCCTCCAAGAGGATAGCGGACGGCGCGGGAACGGTGGCCATGGAGGACCTCAACCTCGTGAACATGACTGCAAGAGCCAAGGGAAAGGGAAGCACGGCCAAGACCGGGCTCAACCGCGAGATGGCCTACTCCAGGCCCGGGACGTTCCAGCGCCAGATCAGGGGCGCCTGTGAGAACACGGGCGTGACTGTAATTATGGTGGACCCCAAGGGCACCAGCATAACATGCCACAGGTGCGGCCACAGTGACAAGGAATCCAGGGTGTCGCGGGGCGAGTTCCGCTGTACCAATGACAGATGTGACAATGACGTCAACGCGGACATCAATGCCGCGCATAACATTGCCTCCAGGGCGGAAGCCGTGGCGGCAGGGCGGCCGGGATGGTCGTCCAAAGACGCGAGACACCAGCGCGGGATTGCTCCCGCGCGTTCCCCAGACAGGGCGCGAGAGCCAAGCGCCGGGAGGGTTGCAAGAGCGCCAGAAAAAGGCAAGTGTACTGTGTACTCATGTATATAATTCCCTTAACTTACGTCGACAGTGCCTAACATCCAGGGATGGACCAGGCAAAAGTACTCGTAACTTCCAGCCTCGTCAAAGGTCACCTCAAATATCGCTCCGCCTATGATCAGGCTGCTATCGAATTCTCCGCTCGGTCCGGTTTGAGGTGAGCCGCTTGTTACCGTGTGTGCAGCGATGTCTGCGTTGTCCCATGCCACCGTGTCGCCAACATTGATGGTTACGGAGCCGGGTATGTAGCATGCGTCGGTGATCTCACACCCTGGGAGCTCCGTGTCTATGGGTATCTCGACTGTTACGGTCTGCGGTTCTGTGGGCTCTGTTGTTGCCTCCTCTTCTTCGACCATCGCTTCCTCTTCTGCCATGGCCTCCTCTTCCGTCATCGCTTCTTCTATCATGAGGCCTTCTTCTATCATCGTCTCTGCCTCCACTGGTTGCTCAACAACTGCGGGTGGGGCGGAGGGAACTGCTATCGGCGCGCTTGTGCTCTGAATCGAGTCACCAGCTGCTGCAAGTGCGACAAAAATTGCTACGATGGCTATGGACCATCCGGCTGCCGCCTTTTCCATTGATGCCATTTGTCGTATTCCTGAATTAACGAAATATTAACGTTCGATGCTCCCCTGGAGTATCTGTTTAGCAGCCATTCACGTTCTCATCCACGCAACACCCGTGGAGAATCATTTGAGGTCTGACGGTCCAATGGTGTATGTAAACGGGATGCCGCATGCGGCGCCAGTACCAGCATTGCGGGATGAGACGGCGACAAATTCCGCATTAGGTGCCAACCTGCCAGTCTAAAAAGGAGCAATCTCATCTGCATATATACTGAAAGCGGCATATGGTTATTGAGCAAGTATGGAGATCGTCTACGTGCTGATTCAGTGCGATCTGGGTGCCGAGGTAGACATTATTGAAGAACTGGCAAGGCTTCCAGGGATAAAAGAGGTAAGGGGAACGTATGGTGTCCATGACATCTTCTGCAAGATCCAGTCCGATGACAGGGATGCCATGGATGAGATCATCACAAAGAAGATCCGCAGAATCAGGCGCATTCGCTCCACAATCACACTGCGCTGGATTCCGTCCCAAGGTGGAAAGGGTTGATCGAGTCGGAGTTTAATGCAGATTTACTCTATAACAGAATCATACGCTACTACATAGACAAGAAGGGGTATCCCAAAGAGCAGGCAAACTCCATAGCCCAGAGGGTGGTCATGAGGGAGACGGAGCGCCGAATATGCCATAACCAGAACTGCCGCCACATGCTAGACGATCACATAAGAAACTCTGGGACATGCCTGATCCAGTCCTGCGACTGCACAGAGTTCAAAAAACAGAGCGGCAAAGGCGGCTCCCAGACACGGTAGCCGCACCGTACAGGGTTATGTCCCGGGCATCCTGTCGGGTGCCTCTGGTGCCCCGCTTGCCGTCACGGCATGCATGCTCGCTTTCCTGCGCCACAACCCGCGTTAGGCTGTCGTGTCTGGTAGGATCGCAGCAGATGCCGGTATCTGAGAAGAGATCTGCGGTTTACGGGCAACCGGCGGATCCCGTATCTGGGATCCGTGAACCGTGCCGTGCCCCCGCGCCTCGGCGGCGCCAAAGTCTCAGGTGTATCTGTCCAGGCTGCCTGCTTTAACGGCTGCGCGTCAAATCCCATCTTTCTGAGGTGTGACGCAAACTCTGCGACAAATCCGTGTACGGTGTAGATCTTTTTGCCTGCGAGTCTGCCACCATCTGGACCAGCTCGTTGAAGTCGCAGTGGTCGCTCATTGCCATCGACACGTCACACCTGCGGCCAAACGCAAACCTGGCTGACTTTGCCCATCCGCTGAATCCGACTGTCACCGCGCCGTATCTGGCCTTCATGCCCTGTATGAACGGGTTCCTGCCTGACATCATTGGCGCTATCATTACCCATGGTTTTTTGTCTAGGAGTCCCTTCCGCTCTGCCTCGGTGTGCCCCATCGCATCCTTGAGCGGGACTCCCAGACTCCGGTGCAGGTCGTTCATTTTTACGATCTCGTCGCTGTAGTATAGTGGATCCCAGTGGCCAAACATGTGCGCAATCGTCTGGGCCTTGCCCAGCTGGTACCCCATGAGTATGACGGGCCTTCCCTTGGAGTACATCTCGGATATGAACCGGTTCACTGCAGACTCGGTCTCCCGTATGGGCGGAAAGACAAACTCCGGCAGGCCAAAGGTGCACTCGGTAATCAGGATGTCGCACTTTGGAACCCTTGCGCCCTTGAGAAATCCCCTGTCCCTGGCGCATATGTCCCCTGTGTAAAAGACGCCATCGGCCAGGAGCCCCTTGGAGCCAAGTATGTGGCCGGAGTCTATGAGCGTGGCGCCCTCCGTGTGCTCTGTATGGTTCTCCATCCTAAAGCCGCGCAGCTCGGCAATCCTGCGCGTCTCAGACGAGGCCAGCACGGTGCCGCCGTTCCCCGACGGCAGGTGATCCATGTGGGCGTGGGAGACAAAATTGACTCCGTCCGGACTTGACCGTTTAGGATCCAGGTATATGTTGCGGTCTCGGTCTGGCAGATTCCGCCGCCCTCTGCCACTCTCACCCTGCCAACCACCTGTCAAGCGAAGTCTGGTTTTCATATAAATCACGGTGTTCTACAGGGGCGGCCCGGATCATGCCTCGTGGGCTGCCCCCAAGGGATGCCTGTCCGGGAGCCGCCGCCTGAGCAGTATGCGAGGTCTGATCCCGCAGTCATACAGATTAAATGTAGATTTTATGCGCCACCACATGTTGCTGAATCTTGGAATACTGATCTCCGGCCGTGGTAGCAATATGAGCGCAATTCTAAAGGCCGCAAGGGGCGGCAGGATTCCGATCAACCCTGCCGTTGTCATATCAAACAGGCCAGACGCCTTAGGGCTTGCGTCTGCCAAAAGGCTGGGGGTGGAGACCCGCGTCATAGAGAGCAGGGGTTTTGCAGGCGACCGATGGGGGTACGACCAGAGGATCGTCTCTGCACTCAAAGACTGCGGCGTGACTCCAGAGAACGGCCTGGTCTGCCTTGCCGGCTTTATGCGGATCATCAGCCCGCAGTTTGTAAGGATGTACAGAAACAGAATTCTGAACATACATCCAGCCCTGCTGCCGGCATTTCCTGGACTCGACGCGCAAGGGCAGGCGGTAAAATACGGAGCAAAGTGCTCCGGATGCACGGTGCACCTTGTCGACGAGGGAGTGGATACGGGCCCTGTCATCTTGCAGGATGTAGTTCGGGTGCGTGATGACGATACCGCCGAGTCGCTGTCAGAAAGGATTCTAAGAAGGGAGCACATCCTATACCCGCGGGCCGTAAACCTCTTTGCCACCGGAAGGATCAAAATTGAGGGGAGACGGACGATCATCGAGGATCCTCCGGCGTAGCGCCGTGGTAGACGGCGCCATACGGGCATCTGCGCTGACCGTTTGAGGCGCTCATTCCCGTCTAGGCGGCGGTTCCCGCCCCGAACGAGCTGCGAGTCCGCGCTATGCCTGCCCGTACCGGCCCGGGATGCCCCTCGGCCTTCAAGGCGGCCCGGCCAGGACGTCGTACCGTGGGCGGTTCTGCGGGGCAGCATCGCTGCCGCGCACCGGCCAGGGATGTGTGATCCCCGTGGAGGCCCTTTGGGCACCACCTGCAGAAAAGACCACCCTAGGATTAAATAGAGACATGCCGGTTCTGGCAGTGTTGAGTGGCGGCAAGATTGACGGCAAGGTGATTGCGCAGTCGGTGAGGCTCGAGGTAAAGGAGGCCGTTGACGCGCTAAAGCGCGAGGGCATCCTGCCCTGCCTTGCGACCATACTGGTGGGAGACGATCCGGCCTCGGCTACATATGTCAGAAACAAGCACAAGGCGTGCCAGGAGGCCGGGATTGCAACAGATGATCACCGCCTTTCCGCCTCGATCACGCAGGAGGAGCTTGGCAGGCTGGTGGACTCGCTCAACTGCAACGACCGGGTTCACGGAATACTGGTGCAGCTGCCACTGCCGGATCACCTGGACAGCTTTGAGATCATATCTAAAATGCTGCCCTCAAAGGACGTGGACGGCCTGACCCCGAGCAGCGCAGGCCTGCTCTCGATGGGCAGGGCGCCGTTTGCCGCGTGCACGCCCTCGGGAATCATGAGAATGCTGGACTACCACAACGTCGATCTACGGGGCAGGCATGTGGTGGTGATAAACCGCAGCAACCTGATCGGAAGGCCGCTGTACCACATGCTGCTGGCCCGGGACGCGACCGTGACCACCTGCCACTCAAAGACCAAAGATCTGGCACGGCATACGCGCCTGGCTGACGTCATAGTCACGGCAGTGGGCAACAGGGCAAAGTTCCTGCTGACCCGGGACATGATAAAGGACGGGGCGGTGATAATCGATGTGGCAATAACAAGACACGAGGGAAGGCTCGCAGGCGATGCGGATTATGAGGACGTGATACAAAAGGCGTCCCTGGTCACGCCGGTTCCCGGGGGAGTCGGGCCCATGACGGTTGCGATGCTTTTGAGAAACACGGTCGCAGCAGCGGAGCTGGCCCGGGCTGGCAGATAGCACGTCAAAGGAATCCCTCCGCCGGATCCTCCTGCAGAGGCGCAACGCCATATCCGCGGACTATGCCAGGATCGCAAGCAAAGAGATACACTCCAGCCTGAATGGCATTGGCGCGTTCTCCCGGGCCCGCAGGATGGCCCTGTACCATCCCGTGGGAAGCGAGGTGCAGACCCAGGAGATCATGCAAGATGCCATATCCCGAGGGGTGCAGGTGCTGCTGCCCAGGATACTCGGGGACGACATGGTGTTTTGCGCGGTGGGCGGGCCGGAGGACTTGGAGATGGGGCGGTTTGGCATCATGGTGCCCAAGGAGAGATGCCCAACATGCTGCGATATGGACGTGGTCGTTGTGCCGGCCGTGGGGGTTGCCCCTGACGGCCACCGGCTGGGATATGGCCACGGGTACTATGACCGGTTTCTTGGCGGCTCGGGTGCCACATCAATTGCAGTCGCGTACCGGCGGCAGGTTGTGGAGTCGATCCCGTTTGACGGGCACGACGTGAGGGTGCACTGGGTGGCAACAGAGAATGGCGCCTTTAGGGCCGATCACAGGGCGGCCTGATCCGCGCCGGACAGGCCCCAACTCCCAATGTCCGTCCGGCAGTGCTTGTGTGGCCAGCGTATCTTGTCTGCCATCGAGTACGCCCGCGACACCGCATCCCTCAGGTCCGAGCCCAGAGCTGTCACGCCCAGCACCCTGCCGCCGGTGGTCAGAACCCGGCCCGAGTCCCTCCGGGTTCCAGCGTGAAACACCATGCCGTCACGCACCTCCCCAAGACCCGCTATCTCCTCGCCCCTGGGGTACTTCCCCGGGTATCCGCGGGATGCCAGCACGACGCACACCGCGCTCTGGCTCTTCCAGCGCGGGGCAGGGAGCCGGGACAGCCTGCCCCGGGAGCACTCAAGCAGGTACTCGTAGAGGTCAAAGTCCATTCTCATGACAATCGGCTGGCACTCGGGATCGCCCATCCTGGTGTTGAACTCCAGCACGTACGGCTCCCCGTCCCTTACCATTATTCCGGCATAGAGGAATCCCTGGAATGGGAGGCCGAGGCCCTTCATGGCAGAGACGGTGGGCTCTATGATCCGGCTCTGGATCTTCGCCGCAATCTCGGCATCCACCGCCGGCGTGGGCGAGTAGGCCCCCATGCCGCCGGTGTTCGGACCCCTGTCCCCGTCGTATATCCTCTTGTGATCCTGGCTGGCCGCCATGGGCACCACGGTGTCGCCGTCGCACAGGGCGATGTACGACGCCTCGACGCCGTCGATCCTCTCCTCCACCACTATGCGGCTGCCCGCCCGCCCGAACACGTTTCTGCCCAGTATGGCATCCACGGCATCTCCTGCCTCTGCCGCATCAGAGCACACAAACACGCCCTTTCCGGCTGCCAGCCCGTCGGCCTTTACGACCACCGGGTGCGGCGTGCTAGCCACGTACTCTAGCGCCTCTTTCCTGTCATCAAACACCTCAAACCCCGCAGTGGGGATGCCGTTCCCCTTCATGAACTGCTTTGCCCAGATCTTGCTGGACTCGAGCTGCGCGGAGCCCCCCGTGGGCCCGAAGATCTCCAGGTTCCTCCGGCGGAACAGGTCGACAATACCCATGGACAGGGGCACCTCGGGGCCTACCACGGTAAAGCAGTCGTTCTTCTCTGCAAAGCCTGCCAGACCACCGATGTCCTCGGCGGCTACGAACACGTTGTCCCGGGTTCCGCCGTTTCCCGGAGCGGTAAACACGGTATCGACCGCACTGCTCTGGGACAGCTTCCAAGAGAGGGCGTGTTCCCTGCCTCCGGATCCCACCACCAGGACATTGGCCAATGCAGTACTGTGGGCGGGCGCGTATATAATCGAAGTTATGCGGCCCTAGAGGGAGCCAAAGACATCATCGATTCGGCCGCAACAAACACCAGGAACTCTGCAGCCGTCAGCATCATCCTCTTTGTCCGCAGTCTGGCGTATGTTGTGATTCCCAGCGCAGACAGGAATGCGGTCAGGACGACGCCGCCGCATGCAGCGCTATGTGGACCATGTGGAATCCGTGAAATATGTGCGGGGCGATGACTGGCGCCATGAGGATGCCCGCCACGCCGGCCACGACAAGGCCAAACGGCGTGGCTTTTTCTCCAGGATCTGCTGTGGGTTTAGCATCACGGCATATGTGCACATTCAAAATTTAAAACAACTGGCGCAAGCCCAAAATCCATACTTTCATAATGTCATCTGCCTCCTTCACCCACATATGGATCTCTCGGGGGAGCTTGACTTTAAGAGGATCGAGTCCCTGATAAGGGAGCGCAACTCCGGCCTGGATCTGCACAGGATGATCCGCGAGTCCGACGCCAAGGATCAGGAGATTATGTTCATCGAGGGCCCGCCCACGATGAACGGCATCCCGCATGCCGGCCACCTAAGGGGTCGGGTCATCAAGGATCTGTGGTACCGGTACAACGTCCTGCAGGGCAAAAAGGTGATCTTCAACGCCGGCTGGGACACCCAGGGGCTCCCCGTGGAGCTGCAGGCGCAAAAGGAGATGGGCGTCACCGGCGGCAAGAGCGAGATGGTGGAGAAGGTGGGCATCCGGAACCTGGTGGCTAGGTGCAAGGATTTGGTGGACAGGTACAGCCAGAAGTGGATCGAGGCAGATAACCTGCTGGGAATGTCACTCAACCACGACGGGGCCTACTGGACGTTTCTTGACGGTTACATACAGCGCGAGTGGCAGTTTCTCAAGCGAGCAAACGAGACCGGCATATTGGAGGATGACTACACCGTAATCGCATACTGCCCCTCGTGTCAGACCTCGCTGAGCCACGCCGAGGTGAACCAGGGATACGAGGAGGTGGAGGACCCCTCCCTGTACTACAAGGTGAAGCTTGCTGATGAGGACGCGTACCTTGTGGTGTGGACCACGATGCCGTTCACGCTGGTCACTGACGCAATGGTGGGACTCCACCCCCGGGAGAAGTACCACTACATCCGGACAGGGGACCAGACATGGATAGTCGGCGCCACGAGGCTGGAGGAGTTTCTCCAGGAGGCCCGCATAGGGGAGCACACCGTGCTCCGGACCGTCACGGGAGCAGACCTTGAGGGAAGGAGGTACATACATCCACTGCTGGATCGGATCCCGAAACTGCGCGAGCTGTCCCGGGAGCCGGGCTACCACACCGCCGTATCCGAGGAGTTTGTGGATGTCGGCGCAGGCAGCGGCCTGGTACACCTCTCGCCTGCCAACGGCGAGGAGGATATCGGCATAGCAAACAGGAGGGGCGTGCGCGTCTTCAACCCCATAGACGACGAGGTCAGGTTCACCCGGGAGGCAGGCGAGTATGCGGGCCTGTTTGTCCGGGACGCAGATCAGAGGATAGTGGACGACCTTGAGAGTGGCGGCTCCCTTGTGAGCATACGCAGGATCAAGCACAAGTACCCCCTCTGCTGGCGCTCCCGCCACCGGATCGTGTGGCTGGCAAGGAGGGGCTGGTTCTACAAGCTGGACCGGTTAGGCCAGAAGGCGATAGAGGCGGCCGAAGCAGTCGAGTACTTTTACGAGCAGCCAAGGAACAGGTTCCTGGGCATAGTGAGGGAGCGGCACCCGTGGTGCATATCCCGGGAGAGGTTCTGGGGGTGCCCGATCCCTGTCTGGAGCTGCCGCCTGTGCGGCCACCGGAGCTGGTTCTACTCCAGAGAGGAGATCGTCGCGGCGTCCGCCGAGCTGCCCGACGGAAGAGACTTTGAGCTGCACCGCCCATGGATCGACGGCGTGAAGGTGCACTGCCAGAAATGCGGGAGCGCAGACACCCAGAGGGAGCCCTACGTCCTGGACACGTGGCACAACAGCGGCTCGGCGCCCTACTCGTCGCTGGACGACGAAACATACTCGGGGCACATTCCGGCGCCGTTCTTCACAGAGGGGATAGACCAGACCAGGGGCTGGGCGTATACGCTTCTAGTGGAGAACGTGATACTGAATGACGCCCCAGTGTCGCCGTACAGCGCATTCCTTTTCCAGGGGCATGTCCTTGACAAGAACGGAAACAAGATGAGCAAGAGCCTGGGAAACGTGCTGGACGCCCGGGAGCTTTTACAGGAATACCCGGTGGACCTGGTGAGGTTCTACTTTTTGTGGAAGTCCAGTCCCATAGAGGCGCTCAACTTCAGCACGGAGGAGCTGATGTCCCGGCCATACCAGGTGCTCTCGACCCTGTACAACCTCCACCTGTACTTCAAGCAGAACAGCGAGTATGACAAGTTTGATGACTCGTACGACACGGGCTGGGCAGAGGGGCGCGGCCTCCTGACGGCGCCTGACATGTGGCTCCTCTCCCGGCTTCAAAAGCTGATCAAGAGGGTAAGCAGGAACAACGACCGGTGCAGGTTCCACGAGTCGGCCAGGGCCCTAGAGGAGTTTGTCATTGACACGCTGAGCCAGTCGTACATTCCGATTACCAGGGGCGAGCTGTGGGACGAGGACGGCTCAAAGAGGGATCGGCGGCTGGCCATATACGCGGTGCTGCGCTTGGCTCTCCAGTCCCTGGATGTCATGATTCACCCGATGTGCCCCTATACCAGCGAGTACCTGTACCTCTGCCTCTCCGGCAGGGAGCAGAGCATACTCCTGGATGGCTGGCCGCAGGCAGATGGCGCCTTGGAGGACAACCCCCTGGAGGAGTCCTTTGCCCTGATGAGGGATGCAGTCTCGGTGGCGGCTGCCGCGAGAATGAGCGGCAGGCTGAAGAGGCGGTGGCCATTGGATGAGGCCATCGTCTGCGTGGCCCCTGGCCAGAAGGATAAGCTGGATCGGCTAGCGGATCTTCTGGTCTCCCAGCTAAACGTGCAAAGGTGCACCATAGTGGAGCTGACAGGCAGCCCCGGGCTGGACCGGCTGGCAGAGATGCTGAAGCTTGGCCTGCCGGTCATGCCCGTACTGCAGCTGGACCGGAAGAGGATCGGCCCCAGAGCCAAGCAACACATGGCCGCCCTGCTGGCAGGATTCTCAAAGGCAGACCCGCGCGAGATCCTGCGGGAACTGGCCGAGAATGGCGAGTTCTCTCTCGATGCGCGCAAAAGCGTGGTGCTGGGGGCAGACGACGTCACCGTGGGCTTTGATGCCCAGGACGGCTACGCCACGGCCAGCCGGGATCGCTGCACGGTCCTGATCCCCACCGTCAGGAGTCCGGAGATGGTGGCTAGGGGACTCGTAAAGGACCTGGCAAGAAGGCTGCAGGATCTGCGAAAGAAGAGGGGATACAACCCCACGGCAGTGCTGGACGTGGCATCGATCCTCGATCTGGAGCCAGAACAGCTGGAGATGGTCAGGGCAAGGGCAGACGATCTCCGGTTTCTGGTCAGGGTGAGGCAGGTGAGCCTTGAGGAGGTCTGCCGCGAGTACGAGCAGGTCGACATAGACGGCCAGAAGATCCGCATCTCCGTCGAGTAGCCGCGCGATCCATTCTTAGATAAATACGATCCCCGCGCATGTATGTCATTGCCAAAACAGATCAATCTGGACTCGTGGCAGGCCGAGCGCCTAGAGAAACTGCTCAGGCGGGGCTCGGAGACGGTCCAAAAGACCAGGATCCCCATCGTGCTGTACCGGCAGACCATGGAGGAGGAGGGGGACTCGTGCGAGGAGATCGTATGCACCCTGACAGAGGGCTACGTCGTGGAGCAGCGGATAACGGCAGGCGGGCTCTTGCGCCCGTCCATCGACGAGCAGTCCGTCTATGCCGTGGACGACTACCCGCGAATGCTGCTCCGAAAGAGCAGGGAGCGGTTTCAGAAGATCACGGAGCTCCTAGAGGCGGAACTGCAATAGTGTTATAGGTTATAAAGCGCCCATCCGGCAACAAAACCAAATGCGCCTCTTAGAGTACCAGGCAAAGGAGCTGTTTGGGGAGTACGGCATCCGCATCCCGGAGGGCCGGACGTCTGCGGATGTGGCGCAGGCAAGAAAGGACGCGCAGGAGATGGGCTACCCCTTTGTCATCAAGGCCCAAGTTCCGGTAGGCGGACGCGGCAAGGCGGGGGGAATCCAGGTGTGCCACAACAACGGCGAGCTTGAGACCAAGTACCCCCAGATTGTGAACATGAGCATCAAGTCAGAGAAGACCAGGGCCGTACTGCTGGAGAAGATGGCCGACATAAAGAGGGAACTCTACCTGTCGCTCTTTCTGAACCGCAGCAAGCGGTGCTACACGATAATAGCATCATCTGAGGGCGGGGTGGACATCGAGTCCCAGAAGGACCAGATCATCATCGATGCGGGCACCGGCAACGTGGACGGGGAGATGGCAGCAGACGTGGCGTCCAGGATGGGCCTGGAGGCAGGGACTGCCGACGGTCTGGCAGACATGCTAAAGAGGCTCTCAAGACTCGCAGTGGAGAAGGAGGCCGAGCTGGCAGAGATAAATCCCCTGGCGGTCTTGGGCGACGGCTCTGTCATGGCGCTTGACGGCAAGGTGATAACAGACGACAACTCGAAGTTCAGGCACCCGGAGCTTCTCAAGTACCAGGAGGTCTCGGAGCTGGAGGAGACCGCAGAGAAGAGCGGGTTCTCGCTGGTGGAGCTTGGGGGGGACATCGCTGTGGTTGGAAACGGGGCGGGACTGGTTATGTCCACCCTTGATATGCTGCATGACGGCGGCGGCAAGCCGGCGTGTTTCCTGGATGTCGGAGGCGGCGCCACAACGGAGACCGTCTACCGGGCCCTTATGCTGATAAGCAAGATGGACGGGGTAAAGGCGATTCTGATAAACCTGTACGGCGGAATAGTCAAGACGACCACCGTCGCATCGGCATTCGTCAAGGCGTACGACGACCGCCTGCTCAGCGTTCCGGCGCATGCCAGGCTGATGGGCGCCGAGTCAGAGACGGCAAGGGCGATGCTTGAGGGAACCCAGACAAGCCTTCATGACACAGTGGAGGACGCGATCGACGCTGCGGTGAGGGGGACAGGATGACTCGGATATTTGATCTGCTGAGGGGAAGGCCCGGGGACGCGGACTATGGCGCAAAGCCCGTGATCGTTCAGGGAATCACCGGAAGGTTCGGATCGCGGCACACGCAGCTGATGAGGGAGTACGGCACAAACATTGTGGCCGGCGTTACGCCGGGCAAGGGGGGCCAGACCTTTGAGGGGATTCCGATATACGACAACGCCAGGGACGCCGTCGAGGCCACCGGGGCCCAGATATCTGCCGTGTTTGTGCCGGCGAGGCTGTTTCTTGATGCGGCCAGGGACGCGCTGAACGCGGGAATCAAGCTCCTGGTTGCAATTCCAGAGCATGTCCCGATAAGGGACTCCTTGGAGGTGCTGGAGATGGCAAAGAGGCACGATGCCATAGTCGTCGGCCCCAACACCCCCGGCGTGATCATCCCCGGGGTGATCAAGATCGGGATCATGCCCGCCGAACCGTTCAAGGCAGGCGACATTGCGGTCATATCAAAGAGCGGGACGCTACTATACGAGATCTCACACAGCCTGACGCAATCGGGATTTGGCCAGATGATCACCCTGGGGGTGGGCGGGGATCCGGTCAACGGCACAAGGCTGCTTGACGCCTTTGCCATGGTAAGGGACATGCCTGACCTGCGGGGAGTGGTCATAGTGGGAGAGATAGGCGGAGATGCCGAGGAGCTGCTTGCCCAGGAGATCATCGACACGGGATTCAAAAAGCCAGTGGTGGCATACATTGTGGGAAGGGCGGCGCCCAAGGAGAAGAGGATGGGACACGCCGGCGCCATCGTGTACGGAAACTACGGCTCTGCCGAGTCCAAGGTCTCGATGTTTGGCAAGGCAGGCGTTCCTGTGGCAAAAAGGCCGATGGAGGTACCGGACCTGCTGGCAAAGAGGCTGGAGTCCGTCGATTAAGTTAAAAGAGAGTGTACGGCAGGATGACTCAGATTGCCCATAACTGATCCATTAAAGAGGCAGATTGCCCAAAAGGCGCTGCTGCACCTCAAGATATGCTTCCACTGCGGGGCAAGAAACGACATCAACGCCACAAGGTGCCGCAAGTGTCACAGCAACTACCTGCGGCTCAAAAACAGAAACATGGGCATAAAAAAGTAGCCTGCAGGGGGCGCGCTCAAATCCTGCATTTGGCACTACGTAATCTGCATCCCGGAGGGTTCTTGCGCCATGTAAGGCAGGCGGTTCCGTACCACACAAACAAAGACAAAAAAGCCCGCTCTTTTACAGTAATGACGGACCGGTTGTCTAGTGGTTAGGATGACGCACTCACACTGCGTAAGGGTACTGCACCCCGCAAGGGTCATGGGTTCAAATCCCATCCGGTCCATACTTTTCAAGTAACTTTTGTAGGCTCCACGTACACAATAGGCATGAAGTTGACAAAAGACGAGATCGTCAGGGCAAGGGACGCATCCCCCGATGGAGCTCTTCGCGCAGGGCATACGCTCAAAGGAGACGCTGGAGAAGTACTCGAGGACACTCCGACAGGTGACCTGCGAGTTTCTGGAGGAGATGCTTGAGGACGAGTTCGGGGAGCGCGTGGCCCAGCTGGTCCGGTACGCGAGGGAGGAGCCGGAGTGGACGCGTGACCTCCTGCTGAACCTGTCTGGGAGCTGCGGAAGAGGACGGAGTTGGCCAGGGACCACTCGGACTACCCCAACCCCGCCTCGTTTGGCAACTATTTCAAGCCGGTCAAGAAGCTCTTCGACATGAACGACATCGCTATGCCGTGGAAGAGGATCTACGCCACGTACCCGGAGCTTGACAATGTCTCCGAGTCGAGGGGGTGGACAAGGGAGGAGATAGGGAGGATGCTCAGGAACACACACGACCCAATGGAGCGGGCCCTGGTGCTGGTGCTGGCAAGCTCGGGCGTGCGCTCGGGCGGCCTTGACCTGAACTGGGGGGACCTGGTTCCGGTGTACCGCGTGGACGGCAGCCTCGTGCTGGATCCCGGAGCGGAGAGCGGGAAGATCGCGTGCGCCATGCTGCAGGCGTACAGCGGCTCCGCGGAGAGCTACACGACGTTCATAACGCCGGAGGCGTACGGCCGCATGTGGGCGCAGTACATGGGGCGCCAGCCACGCCCCAAGGACCCCATGTTCCTGGCCACAAGGGGCCTGCCAAAGAGGGCGTCCTACATGTCGGTCAGGAAGCGGATCGACAGGATAGTCAGGCAGGCCGGGCTGCGCGACCCCGAAGAGGGTGGGGCCAGGAGGCACGCCGTGCCGCTCATGAACGGCTTCCGGCGGTTCTGGAACAAGACATGCAAGGAGGCGCTGTCAAACGACTCGCCGCTTGCCTCACTGATAATGAAGGAGTTCATGATGGGGCACAAAGGGCTCGTGTCGCTGGACCAGAACTACTTCAAGACGTCCGTGCTGGAGCTTGCGGGCTAGTACGCCGGCGTCGTGCCGGACCTGACCATAGACGACTCCGAGAGGCTCAGGCGCTTAAACAAGCGCATGTCCGCCAACATACAGGAGCTTGAGGCCAAGAACGCCCGGATAGACCAGCTGGAGAGCAAGGTGCGCAACCTGGAGGGGCTGCGCGTCGAGGCCCTCGACATGGACAAGCTCCTCAAAGAGGCGAACAAGGACATGAGGGCGGCAACGGAGGGGGACCTGAGCGCGCTCGGGGCCCTCATGCGCCGGCTGGAGGCATGCCACCGGGCAAACCTCGCGGAGGCCACGGCCGCAAGGGACAGCAAGATAGCCTATCTCGAGGGGGCGCTGGCCGACCTGGCAAGGGGCGAAAAACCCGGGGACGGCCCGCCTCCCGGGAACGGGGAGCCCGACGGGGACGGCACCCACCCGCATCACGGGGCAGGCTAGCGCCACCGGGACGGGCGGGCCGCCCCGGCGGCTGCCTGCGCCGACCCCAAAAAGCCACAAAAGGTTGGAGGCTTCGGGTACTGCCGATCCGGCGCCGGAAGGCCCGGGGCTCTCCGGATCTGCGCCTTCCCGGCGAAACCAGGCAGCAGGAAGAGGCAGAAGGGCAGGCTGGCATACCGCCTCAGGAGTGCGAGCAGAGGCGGAAAAACAGCGACAAGGGGTTCAGGGACCGGTTCGGGGCCACTCTGAAGACTGCAGGAAAGTTTCCGAAGGGGAACCCGGCGCATGGCATTCTGACCAGTGGTTCGGACAGCAGATTATAACTTTGCGGCAGCCGTGGCTTCTTTGGGCATTTTAGTAAAAAAGAAAAGACGCTAGTATTTTGGAGCTAGCCCAAGCCGTGATCTTGTAGAGACTGCGATTATGGAGACTGTTGCAACTGCCAGGATCAGTGCGGCGACGGTGCCGAACTCTGGAATTACATATGCCCCAAACAGCTCGATCTTTTCTGTGCCTGCTGGGAACGTTACCGTTACGGCGTTTCCGTCAATCACTGCATCGTCCCACTCTTGGTCGTCTACGAAGACAAGGAAGATTCCGCTTATGGTATCCTCAGACATATACAGCATTACCCGGCCGTCCTTTGTGGCATCAATGCCGAATTGTAGCGAGACGTCCTTTGTGTTTGCCTTTACGCTGGTCATGCTTCCTCCTGTGATCTCGTACAGAACGCATATCTCTTCGCCTTCAGCCAGCCCATCCGTGCCGCATATCGCTGGCATCACATACCCATTAACTATTATCATAGATCCGGTCAGTTTCACCGATATCTCGTTTATCGTTGAAGGCGCTCCGTACTGTGCCCTGATGACAAACGTGCCGTCATGCCTCCATGCATTGCTGTCCGTTTTGATGACAAGCTCGAAGCTGCCGTCACTGTTTGGAACAAGCTGCCTTGCCTCTATGATATTGCCCACCGGGCTAGTCACAAACATCGTGACTGGAGTCTGATCCGATCTTACATCTGCTACGTGGCCTGTGACCAGTATGTCCGAGCCGTACCTGTAGAGATCCATGTCTGTCTCCAGAGTAAGCGGAATCTGCGTTTGGCCGAGCTCTTCTATATCGATTACCGCGTCGTCTACGTTCTGCGCAAAAGAGTCAGGAACGGACAGGATTCCAACAGCTGCTAAAATTGCGATCAGCGCATATGTTGCATGATTGTTCATCTTATTGTGGCTTGTTGGTACCTATACTTATGCATAGTAGTGGCCACAATGAAAGTATGATAACATCTGCCCACGTACTGTACGTGGCAAGTTGACCCCTATCGGATCATGGCCCATGAGGCCTGCGAAATGAATGGGGCAATCCGAGCTGCTTTCGTTAGTGGGACGCACGATCCCTGATAGGTGGCTGCAGCTTCCGGCCTGTCACAAATGGAAAAAGGAGGTGAGAAAATGAAAAGCATAGGAATCGACATCGGAAAAAGAAGATGCATAGTCTGCACCATGGACCGGAACGGAACCATCCTGGAGGAGGCGGGATACGAGAACACCTACGCCGCGGGAACCGCGTTTGCAAGGAAGGCAAGAAGGGAGTATGGGAAATGCCAAGCGGTGTGCGAGTCGACGGGAAATCTTTGGATCAAGACGTACGAGGCGTTTGAGGATCGCGGCATACCGATCGAGCTTGCCAACCCCATGAAGGTGAGGGCCATAGCGGAGGCTGGCGTCAAGATCGACAAAGTGGGAGCAAGGACTCTGGCGCACCTGCTGCGGACAAACCTTATCGCAAGGTGCCACGTGGCAGAAAGGGGGGGGGGTGCATGCTTGTGTTGATCATAAATGCAGAAAACTGCCCATTCTAGATTATACACTATCGCGAAATCGTATATAAATGATACATATCAGATTATATATGCAGAAAAAGCTTTAAATTCTAGATTTATGCTCCTTAGATATGGTTAAGAGAGCAGACATAACTCCAGACAAGTCACTGATTCAAAAGCTTGGACTGGTGGGGTACAGAACGGAGCAGGCGATTGCAGAGCTGCTGGACAATTCCATCGACGCGAGAATTGAAGGCAGAAAAGAAATGATTACTGTGCGACTAAGCCCAAATGATAGAATGATTCAAGTCACAGACGATGGGCATGGCATGAACGAAGATGATCTGGTCGATGCAATGACAGTTGCAAAGGGCACAAAACTAGAAGGACAACTAGGGCAGTTCGGCATGGGGATGAACAGCGCGTGCTCCGCATTAGGGAAAAACTTCGTTATCTCAACATCAAGGGTCGACTCAGATGAGGAATACCAGACAGAGTACGACGAGGAAAAGTGGCTGTCAGACGAATCAAAAAGTTGGAAGAACCTTGAAATAACCGCAAGGACATTGGGCGAAGGTGAAAAATGGCACGGCACAAAAATCACAATCAAAAAACTAAAGGTCCCAGTATATCCAAACCAGGTATCGAAATTTAAGGAAAGTTTTGGAACACGCTATGCCCCATACCTGCGGTCCGGCCAAATCTCAATAAGGATCAATACGATGTTCTGCATACCGGAAAAACCGGATGTGGTGGAAGGCAGCACAAGCGAGGTCAAGATAAGCCTATCAAAAAACAACAAACTCTGGGGGCATGTTGCACTATTGAAAAAAAGATCTGTACGAGGAGATTATGGCATCCATTTATTTAAGAATAAACGATTAATCAAGGCGAATGAAAAATTTGGGTTTTCCGCACACCCAAAACAGGCACAGGTAATTGGGGCATTAAACATGGATCACGTTCCGGTTAATTTTAACAAGAGCGGGTTCATTGAAGACAGTCTGGAATACCAAGAGGCCCTATCTGCATTTCGGGAATCCCCGGAGTTAAAGAGCATACTGCGCCTAGCTCAATCAAGAAGAGAGATTGCTGCAACTGTAGAGTCAGTGTTTGATTACTTTGGCGGGAAATCACCACAGCAGTATTTGGATCGCAGCGTAAACTTGAAAATTGCAGGCGACATATTGGACAAAACACCTAGGCTGGAAGTGAAGATGGGCAACAAACTGGCAGATATACGCCTGGAGGCACTGGGGAATCTTCCTCTTTATACAATAAACAGCAGCAATTCACAAATCACCGTTGTCATAAACAAGGACAATAAAGCATTCAAATTCGTAAAAAATCCATTATTTTTGATCGGGATGATTGCATCGGAAATAAAAATTCTTGCAACGAGTCCCAATTTTGAGAGTGTTGTCAAGGAAAGAAATCGGAGCCTCGGTAAGTTTGTAGAAGAATGGTCCAAAAAACCAGGCGAAGCGGGTTTCAGGGACAGAGAAGTAGAGATACCATATATGGTAAACTACAAACTGGCCAACGATCTGTTTGAACCGCACGAATACCTTAAAGAAAAAATTGGGTTCAGGTTTCAGTTTACCGCACTGTCAACCCTAGTACCATACCTGCACAACTTGCGCGGTAAGGTAGTGTATACAGTGTATACTGAACCTGGGAAGGGCGAGTACCTTGCAGACATGCTTGGCCAAAAATTTGACAGCAAGTTTGTTGCGGTAAACAAACCCAAATCCGATATGCTAAACATGCTGTTGCAAATCCCGACAGTGGACAGAATTATTGCGATAAGAGAATACTCGGCAATTAGGGGATCAACAGTGGCAGCCCCGGAAAAGGCCTATCTTGATCTGGTAAATGAGGCTGACCGGGGCATCCCTATAGACGAAACCGAGCTTAGAAAAGTATTTTCAAGCATGCGGAGATACAACCTGATTGATCACACAAAATTAAGGACATATGCCAACTTTACCAAGAGAATGGGCGCCCTTGAGCGCATACTGGGGGATGAACTGCAGTGGTAGAGCTTCACTTCGCCGATCAGCTGAAGCAGGATAACATAGAAAGAATTCTAGCAGAAAATGACTTTCAAAATGCGTATCCTGTAGAGCAATTCATGATGGATTTCGAAGCGCTCGTACATATCAAAGAAAAATTATCTGATTGCGTAGTGAGAGGTGGAATGGCCGTGCCTTTTCACATAAATGACAGTACACTACACAGGCTAAGTGTAGACATAGACATTGTAACCGGCCATTCAAGAACCAAAGTCATCTCCGCGATGAGTGAAATTAAGAGAACGCTTGGGAGCAAAATAAACATTCCAGATCCTCATATTCCAAGGAGGCAGAGGGATAAGCAACTACCACTGCTAACATACTATTGTGGGTATGAATCAAATTTTAGCGACGAGCCGCAGATAAAGGTGGAAATTTTTTACAGTAACAAGCTCAATATTAAAACAAAAGAAACCACTCCTACCCAAATTGCCGGATTTGTAATAGATTTTCCAATTTCAGTATATGATCGTGAGGCGCTGATAGGGGACAAGCTAACCACACTCCCATTTAACACAATTGGATTAGAACAAAGAGAAAAAGCCACAATATGCAAAAACATCTATGACATGTGCAGACTAATCAACACAGCTCCGGGACAGGTTTCTATGCGAGAAATAGTGGATTCATTTGAAAAGATTGTCAACGAAGAAATATCGTATTATGTGAGAGATGCTCCAACATTTGATCAGGTATTGGACGATTTGATCCAGTTTCCAAAAAATTTACTTACTACAGGAAGAGGCGGACTTCAGCTAAACGCACAATGCAAAGGAGGGATTTCTACCTTTGCAACAGAGCTATTGGGAAAAACCAGGTACAGACCGTATTTACACATTGAAGATATTTTTTTGCTTAAACTTTTGTGTATGTTGATATACAAACATTACAAAGATAGATTAAGCACTGATGAAATTAATCAAAAATTTAACAATATTCTTAGTAAAAAAAATAAAATATCGCGTATGACGCAACGCGATCAGACAAGGAAACGGCTTCACATTGCTAGAAAGCGCAGAATAAATCCAGAACACGAACAAATTATCAGCAACATGTTGCCGGTACACGCGTATTTGTATGATCAAATACTGCAATTAGAATAACTGGGTAACTCACTTGAGCCAGACTCGCGTCTGGATTGCTAAGCGGAATACCCAATGAACGGTTATCGGTGTAACTGATCGGTCTCGTGAAGCTAAATAACGTGCCACGCCATGTCGAGGGTAATTTTTTGTGCCGGTGGTGAGGTAGTTTGTTGCACAACTCCGAATCGCAGGCACGAAATGCCTGCTGCTCGGCAACCATCTAGGCACGGTTGAGATGGTTATGCAACTAGCTATCATGCAGGAAAGACGTTTAAACTGATCCATCTCAATCGAGTCATTGGACTACGATTCGTTGGAGCATTTCATCAAAAAGAGGATGAGCATGACCCACATCTACCAGCCAATCATGATAAGGACGTTGCTGGAGTCCGAGAACTGCAAAGCGCCCAAAGAAGCGATCGCAAGGCAATTTCTGGGGATGGATGAATCCCAGCTAAACTACTACAAGGCCATAACGGGAAGGTGGCCACACCAAGTTCTAAAAAAGCACAATATCATAAGATACAACAGGAGGTGGGAAGAGTACACCTTGCTTCTTGACGGCGCGACGGCAGAACAGAAGAAGAGGCTGATAGAGATATGCAATCTCAAGCTGCACGAGTTCGTCGACAAGGATCCGGCGATACGAAGGCTTCGGGAGCTTGACAAGCGCTCGCGATCCGGCAGCGTCAGGTACGACGTCTTGGCGAAATCCAAAGGAGTTTGTGCCGCGTGCGGCGCTCGGTCGACGGAGGCGCGGCTACACGTAGATCACATAAAGCCGATCAGCATAGGGGGCAGGGATCATATCGACAACATGCAGGCGCTGTGCTACAGGTGCAACACACAGAAAAGGAACAGGGACGATACGGACTTTATGTTGTGGCACAAGAGACTCCAGTTCAGGAAGCGCGGGTGCCTGATGTGCGCCAACGAAAAGCACGAGCTTGAGAACGACTTGTCTTACTGCGTTCTTGCGGGATCCGACGAATCGTCGGCGGTGGTTCCCAAAAGGCACGCCGAATCGTTCATGAGCCTGATACCTGCAGAGCAAAACCTCTGCATTTCACTGGCGAACCGCGCAATGAGTCACCTGAAGGAACAGCACAAGTCCATAATGGGCTTTGACGTGATGTTGGACGTTCCGACTGGCCATTATTCCATCAAGCTGGCCCCAATTAACAAGGGGTAGGCGTAATCGGAACATCCTGACGTAAGCGTTCACCTCCCTCTCAGCCCTAGGCGTTT